TCTGAAAACTGTAATTGACAGCTACATAGGTCTACCTAATGGTTTCTGTCTGAAATCATGGCTAAGGCCATTCTCTTTCCAAGGGCTCTCATTTCACCCACTCTATGTCACTAGTACTAATATAGACAAATATTACACAGATGCAATCTGACACGCCTATGTGTTATTACCTGGAGCTGTTAAAACAGGGGATAGTTTATAATTGCTACAAAGAATACTTTTTTTTTCTTAAAATATATTGTTTCTCTATTCCAAATTAAGCACTTACTTAAGACATTAAGAGGCTGATGAGCCACTCCATTTGGTGTCAATGTCAATAGCCCTATAGGAAAGAACTCTGTATTGGAATAGCTAGAAAAGTTGCCACTAAAATCATAGTGCATCCTTCACCTGCATAGAATCAATTTGGCTTAATAGCTCTTTGCTCCCAGAACACCAGTCTGGAGTTCAAATATGCTCTTGAAGGTTCATTTCAGATATGAAAAAACATCTCATATAGCAATATGAGAAGATATAGGATAATAAAATCTGTTAAAATATGTTCAACAAATTTTACAGCATTCCTCATCTAGAGTAGCTGTTAAAGGTTAAGGTGGGAAATGAGTATGGAAAAGACTAGGGGCAATGAAGTTGAGTAGGTCAAATATTTACAACAGTAACCATTTCATTAAGTCTTTAAGCAAATAACTGCAATGACCTGATACCTCTAGCTCATCATTCTACAAGCACTGAGAATTTGAAGCTGCAAAGGTGAAAAATGGAATACCCTTAGAAAAGGGGAACAGTCTGAGGCAAAAGTTGTAGGTCTGTAAATATATATTTTATATGCACACACACACAATTGTGTGTATTCTGTATAGATTTATATACATATTCACAAGATGCCCTGCAGTGTAGTTCAAAAGACCTTTATCAAGAAACCAACTGATTCGGTCCTAGAGTTCATACCACCTATATAAGAAACACATGTGCATATATTCACATAATGTAAACTGTATCAACAAAAACATTGCTATCAACACTAGGTTAAATAGGTTTTACCAACCAGCGATGTAATCAGAACATTTCGTATACTGAGAATCAAAATAAAGAAAAATATACAACTGGGTTTCAAATTCACAAGAAAAAAGAAGTTTAACAGGGCAAATCAGAACAAAGTTAAAATTCCAGAGTAGGGAAAAATATCAAAACTTTAGAAATATCTTGGGATGCAATTAAATTACTGCATCAATTTTAGAAAAATAGACTCAGAATAAATGACGGTGCAATGGATTCTCCCAACACATCTACCCATATGTTTATCTTTTTCCTCTTTTGTTTCCAGCTGGAGGTTTCTTCAACTGAAGGAGTTGTCCTCCTGTTCCAAAACCTGCAGAGGCAGGATTGGACACCCCAAATGTCAAACCAGCTGATGCCGTGATGCCAGGATTGCTGAAGTTAAACCCAGATGTACTTGAGCTGCCAAAGCCTTATGTTTAGGGAAAAGAATATTCATATCAGAAGTTAAGTCACAAAAACAAATATAAAAAGTGAGGATGAGAGGCAAAGTTCTAGCTACAAGAATATATAATCTATAGAAATAGTACCTATCATATGGCCCTAAATTTCTAACATAAAATTTTATAAGAAAACAACTTAGCAAATAGTTAAGTGGCACCATTAGGGACAGAAGTTTAACCATCCAGGTCAAAAAAGAAGTGTTAGCGCAAATAACTAAAATCTGCAGACTTCAAGCTGCCACTTTCCTGGGAATTCAATATGCCAAGGTGCCTTCCTTCTCAGTTCCTCCAGAAACATTTTATCAACATGTTAAAGATACTTTCACAACCTCTGGACCCACCCTTGCAATTTTAAGTCCTCTAAGAAAACAACAACACACAAGTTTTAGGACAAGTAATATACCAAAGAGTAATACCTATTGTTTTAATTTTATAAGAGCCCTGTGTAATTAAGAGCAAGTACTATTACTGTCTAGTTAACATACTTATAATTCTGATACCACTGAACTCTACTATCTTCCTCTGTTGAAACTGTTGATTTTAGACGCTACTTAATATTAAACAGAATTTCCTTCAAATCTCCTCAATTTCAACAAAATTTAACTGGCATTACATCATTAATTTAGACCTATTTTTTATCCCTGAACGCTGCACATTTAAATAAGTCATTATTTACAAATACAGAGAAAATGCAAAGTAGACGGTGTTTGTAGTTTTCTACCAGAAGAGTTAGAGAAGATTATATCTACTTCAAATAACGAACAAAGAACCCAATTGTAAGATGGAATGTAATAACTAAAGAAGATCTCTTTGGAAGAAAAATCATTCTCCTGAATGAATGATAAAAACTGAGTTAAAACTTAAACCCAAATGGGTTCATTTTTATAATAATGAAGAAAACTGTTTAACCATGAAGCTAGTCTTTGGGTTCAAAGAATCTCTTACTTAGTTAAGATAAGATATACTTATTTATTTTATCAAACTAGTTAAGTGTTGTTAGAAATATTTTATAAACCTGAGATTTAGCTTATGAAATAAAGCTATATGGTTAGGCTTGCATACTTCATCCAGAGAACAGAAACTAAGCCAGGGATCTTTTTTGGATATTGGAAATAACAATACTTATGCTTTTAAATTAAATACTTTGCACCATTAAATTTGTCTGAAATTCAGGCTGAAACACACAAACCTGCACTAAGACTTCCTGAGGGTTTATTTGTTGTTCCAAATCCAAATGTGGAGGCCCCTGTGGTGCTGCATCCAAAACCAGAGCTAGTTCCAAATCCTAGTGGAAGGGCAATAGAGAAATATACAACGGCATGTAAAACACAGGTTTAAAGGATACTAACAAGTAAAACCCCAAATTATCAAACGGTCTAATAAATACAGTGTTGAAACACATGGCCTTATGAAGGATATCTGCTATTTACTCCTTTGCATAAAACTTCTTGGGAAAGAACCAGATTAACCCTGAAATAAAACATTTATATGTATTTAGACTAAGTTTATGACCCATTTGTAATTTTTAAAAAACAAGATCCTTCCAAATGAACTAGAAATTTTAGTAATCATTCAAGCATGATTTCAGTCAAACAGAAATAAACAGATCTACTTGGGGATATTTCATTTTGAAGGAAACAAAAAGGCTAAATTTATAATAAGCATGACATCCACAGTAATTTAAACACAGAGTACTGCAATGGTGATTTTACTCTGCTTTTTTACCCAAACATTTTCACTTAAGAACCTCTGCCATTGAAAAACTGCATAACTACATAATAATCAATAGGAGGCTGTTGCCATGGCATCAACCAATGTAACAATGAGAAAAAGGGAGTGGAAGCATCATGTTTTGTCTTAGTAATAGGACACTCACAATTTAAATAAAAAAATATTTTTCATTATATAAATTCCAAGAGATTTTGCTAGAAGACTCGTTTTTACTCTCCTAAACGCCAAGTGCTTAAAAATAAAATTCAAATTCTTTTTAGGTTACTTTACAATAGCTTCTCTAAAATATTGAGTTTGATAGTCTTACTGCCTCTTACTGATGGCAAATTGGATTATAAATAGTAAGAATTATGCTGTCATAATTCTAGTAATTCCTAATAAGGTCTATTATATAAAGCCATAATAGCTTATAAACTTCCCCTCTTATGAGATGTATAGTTTAGTGGAAATAATGGAACCTTATTCATTATATGGCAATGTGCTCCATAAAACACAATCAACTTTTAATCATCCAGATCAGGTAATTATGAATGCATTTGTATTTAGCATATTTTTGCAGACTTACCTTACTAATTAGAATTAACTTATGAAACTATTAAAATAAATACAATTGCTATGTATACAAATATGTACACAGGCAAATATACCAAAAGTTGAGCTGTTCAAATTACAATAAAATTATTTCCCCATTTAAAATGTCCATTTTCAGAAAAAGATAATGATTAGGTGACCGTATATCCAGTAGTTTGAACTCCAAACTGATGTTAAGACTACTAATTTTAAGTTAAATTTATTGAAACTAAATAATTTTCAAGTTCACATTTTAGCATATTGCTTTGAATATAAGAACATCCCTGCCATTTAATTTTAATGCTTTTTAATATTCACTATTCACAGATAAAATGATTTCTTAGGTTCTAAGTCTAATACTATACAGCACAGATTATGTTTGGAGAATTGTTTTTGGCAGATGGAAACTTAACTTCCAAAATAGTAGATCCTCTTAGAAATTTTTTACAGGCTGGTATCAATTCAAATGTATAATAGTGTAATGCAATTATTAGAAAAGTTAAAGTGTACCTCCAAGGTTTGAAGAACCTAAGCCACTTGATTGCAAGCCAGTGCCAATACCTGAGCCGAATGGCGTTCCAAAACTAACTCCCAGAGATGGCTGTGGCCCTGGTATAAAAAATAAAAAATAAAAAACGGGAGGGGGGATAAAACAAATTTGCCTTACTCTTTCAAGATTAAAGTTTAAGAAATTGTTTTTAAAATGAACAGTAATAACTTTAAACAAATTCTATTTGCTAAAACTTAGTTTTCAGGATGTCTCCCCAGCCTAATTTATCTGTCTCAACTGATTTACTTACCCCCCAAATTTTTTTAATTAACTTGTTCACACTAGACAATTAAGAGGTTTACTGCATTGAAAGATGAATGTTAGTTTAACCTGCTAAATAATTTGAAATCTTTAATGTATTGTAAATTATAGTTCTTTCATAGTTTTACTTTTAGAATTATTTTAGATCTCCCCACTTGCTTTCTGATAAAATTAGTTGGTATAATCAGTAAAGGATTTTTACTTTTTTTCTTTTGCAAACAAGCTCCTTACCATTAGAGTCAAGTCTCAATTGATCAAAAGAGACTGAGGCTAACATGGCAAAACTATCATGTTACTTCATAAGAGTAAGTACCCAAAAACTAGGCATGATTTTTTTTATGAAATATAAATCATATATATACAATAAGTAGATAAAAAACAAGACAATGTTTTATTTTATTAAATTTATTGTTCATTTTAAAGCAAATCAATTACACAGTAACATGACAATTCCAAATTGTTCACAAAAAGTGATAATTAAGTCCTATTGTTAAGCTCTGTGCTACATTACACCACTTATCACCTGATTAAATAAGATAGATAATGAACATTTACAAAGGCACTGCTGTGTACCTTGACAGATTCAATACATTCAAGATTTCAATTCAGAAATTTCTTTCCAACATTTTGGAAAATGTACTCAGATGCAGAACGATTAGTCATCCTTTTCCCATTTGTTACTTGAAAGATTTTAGCTGAGTTTGTTTGGCAAGAATAGCATCAAACTTGCCTCTCATTTTAACTATATACTTTTAAAACTAAGCAGACTACAAAAATCTAAAAATCTCTCATTTGATAAATAATTTATGAAAACTATTCAATAAATTTCATAGTACAATCTTCAGTCTTGTCTTTTTCAAGCACAGTGATCAGTGCATCTCAAAGTTGGGGGATCTGCCAAAGTAATATACAGATTGAAATTTAAAATTTTCAAAGAATTCAAAGCCTTCAAGTTGTTCAATGAATGAGGTTTGTATATTCAAAAGGTAGTGTAAATTATAAAGCATTAAAAAAAAACCTGAAGAACTACATTTTGCTACACTGGGACAAAAACTGGACTTTTCAAATAGCTTCCACCCAGAAAACAAAGAATAAGAACTAACAGCAGCCAGAGTTCTCATACTACTATTAAAAAATAAATTTAAAAAAGATTAAAATTTTTACACCCAGTTTGAGATCAATTTGAGACTAAAATACTTGACAAGCAGCTCTTTTGTAAAATGTTACTACAGGAAAAAGAAACTAAGCATATTAATTTCTTATTTCTAACAAAAATACTATGTAGAAAACACATGTCCAGTTTCTTTAACACTGAGAGACTTAAGTGTCACATATTAATAGGAGGCACTGCTGGTGGAAGACCCTAGAGAATAATGCACACCACAGCCCTCAGTCCTACAAGTCATAAGAGTTACTCAAATAGCATGCTTTTTATTGAGACAGGGTCTATTTTTAAGAGCAACTCTAATCATCGATATTCAGGATGTAGGTAATGAAGAACTCTAATGATGACAAGACTTTCCATTGCACAACAGGTACATGATATTTTGAGTTTTGTACCTTCACACAAATTCTGAAGGCAACATTATTTATAAAACTAGTAGGCAAATGTATAACATTTTTAATAGTTAAAGACTCATAATAAATATCTCCCATGCCAAAGTATTAGCATATATATTATACTCTGGCCAGCATATAAATTAGTTTCACTATTAGAAAGCAGAATCTAAATCCTTCAGGCAAAAGTTACGTAAACAATTCAAGAAGTCCGTTTCGAAATCTGAATACTCATTCAATGAGAGGCTCTTTAGTGCCATAAACAAAACCAAGTTAGTAGTAATATATTCCAATGATCGCCCAAAGTGAAATCTTCATGTAGAGTAACATTTTACAAAAGTTACGGTATAATATACTCACACACAACAAAATCAATTTAATACTGTTAATTCATATTTTCCAGAATAAGTTCTACCCTTTAAAAAGTAAAATTGCATTCACAGGAAAAGAACTAAAGTGCTAAAATTTTTAATAATTTTCAGACCACTCAAAAATAGCTAATGTAATTAGTTTGGTCATATTCTAAAATAAGTCATATCTTAAAATAATAGTATTTCTTAAAAAAACAAAAAATGCCTTTTCCCCAATTTGAAAAACTTCCCTTACTGATTTAATGGGGAATGTTCCTTTGGTTATTAAATACAACAAAAAATCATAAAACCACAGGAAACTAAAACAAAATACTTAGTTTCCTATTTAACACTACATCTTAAATGTCCAAACCTACACTAAAAGCTGGAAAGTAGGAATTCCTACCAAAACATCTCAGTACTCCTTGAAAACAGCAGCTAAGTCACATGAGAAAAGTCTTATTTATGTAAACATCAAGAACTTTTAAAAGTGTCAAAACACAACAGCAAAACTTAACCCCAGCACATTAGCTTAAAACGATCTACCCTAAGTTAAAATTATACTGAAAAAGCCTAATGTAAATTTTAAGCTTTTAAAGAGGCTTCAGAAATACTGGTGGGTGGAAAAGTGTACTCAAGCTCTACCAACATGTAATTTACCCATGTATTCATGCTTATTTCATACATAAATAGCCTGCTGGTTTTTCAACAATTCTCTTCAGACTTCAGAAGCAATAAGCATAAATCACACAAGTCTGTCCTATTACATCTTCATTAAAAAACATCGAAGAATGATCAAGAAGTCACTTAAGTGCATACCTCCACATCCAAGAAAGACCACACACCACCTTCAGAAGGTAGTAGCCCAAGAAGCTAGCTGCTTTTTTACATTAATGAAGTCAAGATTCCATATGCAAATAAAAGCAAACTGCCTCTAACAACTCAAATCTTGTACAGATCAACAGTGATATATAAAAATAGCACACAAGCTTTACCTAGCTTCATCTAGATCATTTTTAAAATCTGTTACTGGTATTTAAAAAGATTTCATCGAAGTCATAGGACATAAGGAATAAGTCATTTGCATAATGTAATTAATAGAGTTGTTTCTAAACAGGGTGTAAAATAAATACAAATCTAACAGACTACATAAATCTTGCTACAGTGGTGGCATGACTAAAATAACTAACATCTAAATGGGGAGAAATCATAAAAGAATGGACTATGGAGCCTGGTAGATCTTTAAAAAAACCAAAGGGGAAAAGAGAAGACAAAATGAAAAACTGTTATGATTGTTCAGCTTCTCAGTTCTAAAAATTCATACAACTCAAAATGAAAACACTGCAAGACTTTTTAGGTTGATAAATTGCAATCCCTACCACCTGATTAAAAAATCTTATGTGGGTTTCAAAACTGCAGGGAACAGAGAAAACAGCCAGTTCCCCCAAAGTCTGACAAAAGTCACAAAATTAAAGCAAATGAGAAAAAGGCTCCTCAACATGATTACTCTAAATTAAGCTATATTCGCCATCACCACAGAAAGCAAAGACCATACCTATAATACTGCCAGAACCTAGCACATAATAGGCACTCATATTTAGAGAAATGAACATATATCTTCATATATTCATAAGCCCAAAATGTATGAGTGAAAACCTACAAACCTCTCTAACTTAGAATGGAAATCCTTTATGTGCAAGGAACACTTACCCAAACCTATGCTTATCTGATCTATTTTAGGACTGATATTGGTTCTAAAAAGTAAATTGGGACTATGGTTGGTCTGATTAATTGGTTAAAGAATCATGAGAAGTTAGGATCCTAATTATGGGATAGGGATTCAATCCCAAAATGACTTTTTTCTCCATAATTTGAGAATACAACCCTACCTTCCAGCCAGCTAGAGAACTACTATACAGTGCTCCTGTGAGCCACTATTCACATGGGTCCAGCCATGGAATGCAGAGGACTTGGCGTAAATCCATCAGCAGCTGTTTACTGATGAGAAGTCAATTCTGTCATCTCCAAATGTGAAGAACAATTTTTTAAACTGCCAATAATGAGAAACAGAGAATGCTTCCCTGTAGAGGCAGCATGAATGCAATCTACGTTTTTTGGTTTTTTTTTTTACTTATCTTGTACTATAATTTATTCCTGGACTATATGAAACTCTCAGAAGGATACATGCTACAGAATAGTAGGCATTACTAAAAAATGTATGAATGAGTAAAAAAAAAAGTCAATATCCATTAAGACTATATTTTTCTATATTGAACTTCAAGCCTACCAAAAAAGGAACTGCAGGAGAAAAGACAAGTAGCAATCTCCGAAAGACACAGGACCAAACTGAACACTGCAGAACTGACCACAAATACGATTCTCTCGTAACAAGTGGAATTATACCAAGGACTAAAATAATCTACATTCCAGTATCTCACCAATGACTTATATCTGCTCAACTTTCTATTCACATTTCTTAATGTGCAATACAGAGCATCTCGAAACATCTTTTTCCTGCTCTTGCTTTTTCTTTGTTCATTTTGAAAAGGTACAAACAAGTCTAGCATATACTTTCTTCCAAATTTGATTTAGAAGGCCTGTATTCTTTCTTATCATTATACATACAAACAAAACTATTGGCCTTCAACACACCTTGAGTCAATAAAAACACACTTCATCCTGAATGTCAGTATTCTGTAATCACTATGTAGGAAGAAATAAGAATGCACCATCTATCAGTATCATACATGAAAACTGCAATGTATGGCTGGATTATCTGACTTTAAAACAACAAATGATACAATCACGATTTTAGAATCTATTACTTCTAAATGTAATTCAGTAGTGAAACACCATGTTCTAAAGGGTATTTATAGCAATACAGCAAATAACATTAAGTAAATTCACAATATTCAGTATCTCATTGCTATATAATTATTGCTAAGACTACCCTGCGTTTTTTTTATCATGTATGATTATAAGTGTGTCCATCACAATTTTTAGACTGTATTGTATTCATAGAAATTTCTTCAGTGCTAACACAAGGAAGACATAAAAATGCACATAAATGTCTGCATTTTAACAGTAAGAAGCTATAACTTGAATGCATTCAGACCTGTAGCAGGCTGTTGCTGCTGTGTAAGTGTTGCAGCCATGGCTACAGCTGCTGCATTTGGAATGGTGCTGAAAGGGGTGGGTCCAGTAGTAACTCGGGGGGCATTCTGCCACTTCTTGACTTCTGCTCGCCTGGCTTCAAACACATCTACAGCATCCCCCAAGAACATCTTTCTGTAGCCAAGGTACTGTTCCTTGAGCACCTACAAGAATGAATAAAGAAAAGGTTAATCAAGTTTTGTGTTGACTTCGGTAATATGTGAATGAATATATGAAATAAGTTAGCAAAGACAGATCAAAGACAGAGTCAATATTATGAATTCCTCCTAACTAAACTAGTAATGCAAAGCATGGCATGGGAAGTGAAAAGTTCGAGTTCTAACACACCTTTGAATATTTTCTTCCCCATTTTTTTCATATCTTTACAATAAACTGCCTAAAGTATTCTGGCTTCATGAAGCCTTCTTCAAAATGAGTTAGCTAAGCTTTAAGATATTAAAAATTTTATTCTAAATATTCCAATTTTTTCATGAAATTTTCTCCTCCAATGCCCAACCTTTTGATAAATGTTAGATTCAAAAAACTTGAAAATAAAAAGCACTAAATATATATGTATATGTTAAATACATCTTCTAAAAGGCCTGGGTGACACATGTTAAAATAATGTCCCTTAGCAGAGAGAGCTAGGATGGTAAAAAGAGGACCTTTATCAATATTTGACATTTTGCAATGAAAATGACTCATGTTGAGCTTGTGTAACCAAATGGCGGGGGGGCTTGAGGGAGGGGAGTGAGTTTGTAATTTCAGAGTAAGAAAGAAAAATTACCAAGTTCATAAACTGGCTGGTTTACCCAAGGCAGCATCTGCCTTGATTCAAGACCATGAATAGAAATGATTATTTTTCACATCAGACTTATTAAATACTTTCACTGAAGGTTTAACCTAATTTAGATCAGTTTTAAACCACTTTTTGAAGAAATGTAGAATTTTTATATTTCCTACCTGTTCTAAGCAGACATTAATAAATTTTAGGCTTTTTTATTATATCAGACAGAACACTTACAAATCCTTTTATTTATAGTATTTAAGAGCTATCATCTCCTTTTGTGTGAATGTCACTAGTTGACATTCCAATTTCAGACTTTCCTGCCTCTATAATGGTGGGGCTGCCAAGAACTGAATATTGGGGAAAATACAGTCAGAAGTAGGGAATGTAATATGAGGAAAAGTAGATCTTTTTAAAACTGATCTCCCCCAAGTCCATCATCCCTTCTTCTGCACATATCCACACAATGTTTAGTATCAATAGCCCATAAATTTTAGTTCTACTTCAAATACTCAGAAAGAATGACCTGCCTTAGAGACTTGAAAAGAACTGGTTTAAAAACACACACACACAAAAAAAACCTGACATCAGTCCGTGATTTATATAATTCATAATTAATGTCTAATTTTGTTAAATGTCACTGAGCCTCACTGGATCAGGTAATTTAAGGCTGTTTCAACAAATTGTCTCATGAAAATATTATTTAAAAAAACAAAAAAACACTGCTTGTTACATTTCTATAAGTGAAGAAGTCCAGAAATCTAATGCAGCTGAAAATAAATGGCAAACAGCAAATCTGATCACGGAAAATCCTTTGTTTTTTGAGAATATTAAAAAAAAGAGTAGGTCAAAATTTCATGTAAAGTTTATTCAACATGATCTGGGGCTGCTTTGTGTGAATCTGTCTTATTATGTTACAGTCATAAAAGGAGAGTTTTCAGCCCAGTGTGGCTCAGTGACTGAGCACTGATCCATGAACCAGGAGGTTAAATGGTTCTATGCCTGGGGTGTGAGGCGTACAGGAGGCAGCAGATCAATGATTCTCTCTCACCACTGATGTTTCTATCTCTCTCCCTCCCTCTCTCTGAAATCAATAAAAACATACTAAAAACAAAACATTCTTTTGTCCCACAAATGAATAAATAATCCACTTGGTCTAGATATCCAGAAAAATAAACTGGCAATAAAAACTTACCTTTACATTTTCATGAATAGACTGAAGTTGTGCAGCTAAAGCTACAAATGTCTGATAAATTTTCTGCATAGCCATTGACAAATCTATAAGAGAAAATTATATTATCACACAAATATATACAACCAATATTAGTTTTCTATTATTTGAGTCCAACTTTTGGTATAGTTAATGTATAAAAGGAAAAAACTACATTAGTATTTCCATGGATAAAAGAAAATAGCAGAGTGAGAAGACTAAGAGAAGGATGTCTATATCAGGAACCTGGGGGAAGGGAGGAGTTCCTAAGACTTTTGCCCTTGTTAGCATTGTAATAATTCATAATAATGCATTTTGTATTTATAGGTAATAAAGATCTAATCAAGGACTTTTAAGAAAATTTTCGTATGGCAGCTTAAGACAATTACAGTAGCTATTTAGAGTATCTACTGTTTAACAACAGCTTAACCTCTCTCCTACAAACAACAAAACAAAAGAGAGTGCTATAAAAAAAAAAATTAACACGGAAAGAATGTTACCTTGAGGAGCTATGTGTGAATTATTTGCTTGAGTGGCAAGATGGTTTTCTAGTTCTTCAATCTGCTGTCTGTATTGCTGAAGCTGTACCTCAAACTGCTGAACCAAGATTCTGAAGTAGCTGTATAAAAACATAAAATCAGATCAAAGTTTTAAAAACATTATTTTCTTTATATTCAAAATACCAAATAAATAAATACATGTGCCCATTGATGTAGGGCCCTTTGAGTTAGTCTGAGACATAATGTATCTTTAAGTGGTGCAAATATTATTGAAAAATCCAAACTCATAAGCTATCAAAAATAGATGTATATCCTTTTACTCCAATCATTAAAAAAAACAAAACCTCAATTAAGGGATAATCTAAAAAGCAACTGAATACTCTCCAAAAGTATCAAGGTCATCAAAGACAAGGAAAGACTGAGTAACTGTTACAGATTGGAAGAGATTAAGTAGTAGTAACAACTAAATGCAATATGAATAGAATCCTCGTGTAGAAAAAGTACATTAGTGGGAAATAGGTACCTGGAACAAAAAAGCACATTAGTGAAAAAAATCAGTAAAATTCAAGTAAGTTCTGTAGTTTGGTTAAATTATTTGTGCCAATGTTAATTTCGTGTTCTTATAATTACACTAGAGGCCCATTGCAGGAAGATTCCTGTGGCCGGAGTGAAGCAGAGAAGGGAGCGAAACTTGCCGAGGCAGGCTTTGCTCCCGCCTCAGCCACCCTGCTTGTTTCCCTCCAGCCTCCTTCGCCCTGCTTGCTTCCCTCCCGTCTCCGCAGCTTCACTCTCTTCTGCAGCGCTTGGCTTCCTCCTAAACTTGTCTTCAGACTTTGCTCCACTCGCCTGAGTATGCAAATTAACTGCCATCTTTGTTGAGTTAATTTGCATACTCATCTGATTGCCTAGTGGGCGTAGCAAGGGTGACACCAATTTGCATGTTTCTCTTTTATTAGTGTAGACTATAATTATGCAATATGTTAACATTAAGAGGACCAGAGTAAGGGAAAAAAGAAAATTCTTTCTTGTTACCATTTTTGCATGTATTTTGCTAATTCTAAAATTAGTTTAAAATAAGTTTTTAAAAAGTTTAATTGTTAATCAGAGTTTATAAACAAACTAGAGGCCCGGTGCACGAAATTCATGCATGGGTGGGGTCCCTAGGCCTGGCTGGCGATCAGAGCCGGGCCAATCGGGGCCTGAAGGCCCCAGCAGGGCCAGGAGAGGCGGCAACGGTCGCCGGGGCAGGAGTGGAAGGAACAGACACTGATGCTGCCACAGCACGGTTCCCCACCTCCCCCCCCCCCTTCCCTCGCTGCTGCACTGCCATTGCAGTGGGCAGGTGGTGGGCCAGTTGGGGCCTGCCAGCTGTGAGGAAGGACAGGAAATGAGAGGTTGGCCGCCAGCTCAAGGAGGGAGCCGGCCCTCAGCCCCCATGGGAAAGGGACCGCGTCGCTGCCACCCACCCCCAGTTCCCCGTCCCAGCCTGGGGCCCACCCCGATCGGGCAATAAAGCCTGCCAGCCAGGGAGAGGAACCACGGGAGGTTGGCCGGCCAGGAGAGGTTGGCTGTGGAAGCACACTGACCACCAGGGGGCAGCTCCTATGTTAAGCGTCTGAACCCTGGTGGTCAGTGTGTGTCATAGCGACCAGTCGTTCCAGTTGTAATGGTTGCTTAGGCTTTTATATACATAGATACTTACAGTTCCTATATCTATAATGTGAAAACACTATAGTGTAGAATAGAAAGAGTATGCAATTACTACTACTGTCCTGATAAATTTAACCAGAGAATGCTGAAAAGATAGAAAGGGACCAAGAATAGCATGCAAAGCAGTCTGAACATTATTCTATATGAAATTGAGAACTGTGAAAGCTTTTTGCAGTGCAAAATGATACGATTCAACCCATTTCAAAACTAGCTCTGATGGCAGAATAAAAAGACACAAGAATAAAATACTAGAGGAAGTGCAGCGAGGAAGCACATCCCATGCTAATCTAAATAAGACAACAGAAATATCATTGCCATTCTTAATTTCCTGATTTTGATCATAATATCCTTATGTTTAAGAAATACACACTAAAGTACTTAAGCATAAAAGCATCATGTCTGCAAATAATTCAAGCGGTTCAGGGGGGAAAATGTATATATACTTAGAGAGAAAAGAACAAAAGTAATAAAAATGTTAACATGTAGGGAATCTAGAAGGAAGATATATGGGAATTTTTTTGTCTCATTCTTGAAACTTTTAAGTTTTAAAACATATCATAATAAAAAATTGTAAAAAAAAAAAAAAAATAGAGACCAGGAGCCAGACCTCTACCACTTACAAGCACAGGACTTCATCTCTTTGTGCCTCAGGCCCAAGACGGGAATAATACCAGCTGTAGAGGTTTTGTGGGAAATGAGATAAAGCATATAAAGTGCTACGCACACTGCTTGGCATATGGCAAGCATTTGAAAACTATTAGCTAGCATTATCTCTAGCAACACGAAAGGATATAAAAAGGAAACATTATATTTATCACATGTATGGTTACTACATGAATATACAAAAGTTGAGTGAAGAAATTACAGGTGGATTTTTTTTAAAGATATATATTTTTTATTGATTTCAGAGAGGAAGGGAGAGGGAGAGGGAGAGGGAGAGGGGGAGGGGGAGAAGGAGGGGGAGGGGGAGGGGGAGGGGAAAGGAGAGGGGGAGGGTGAGGGGAAGAGGGAAGGGGAGAGGGGGAGAAGAGGAGAAGGGGAAAAAAGGAGGGGGGGAGAGGGGGAGATAGAAACATCAATGATGAGAATCATTAATTGGCTGCCTCCTGCACATCCCCTACAGGGGATCGGGCTTGCAACCTGGGCATGGGCCCTGAGAGGGAATCAAACCTGTGACCTCCTGGTTCATAGGTCGACATTCAACCACTGAGCCACCTCGGCTGGGCCAGGTGGATTTTTTTCAATTTTAATTTTACTTATCTACATTTTCTAATTTTTCTTTCTAAAGATTTATTACCTATGTATAACTTTCACTTACCCTTCAATAAAATGAGGATAATAAACTACCCTCATAGGGTTAACATGAGAATTAAATGGAAAAACCCATGTAAAGCGCCTATTAACTCAGGCTTGCTACAAAGTAAACTAAAAATTCTTAGCCTGTATATTGTTTATATTGGTCTGCATTTTTAAAGTTTAAAGAAACATTTGTTTTAAAAATTCCAATAACTTACTCAGCAGGAGCTGCATTTTCATGTTGGAGTCCAGGTGGTGTTTTCTGGGTTCTTAAAGCTATTTCAGCATTCTTTAACTCCTAATATACCAGAGGTTTAAAAGAAAACAAAGGGCCAGTTAAAAGTTAGGCTAAAAATACCAGCTATCTCTGGTTTGAAACTTCAAACAATGTAATTCCTGGAAGTTCATGCTGTGAGAACATAGTATGGATGAAACCCATTTATAAGTTGTTAAAACCTCTTCCGAAAGAATACAAACTATACTTTTAACAAACTTTATGTTTATAATGAGCTGCTGATCTACTTTAAAAACAATGAATTTCTGTAGGAGTCATGAAGTTAATTTATCCACAGCAACAGACTATGCTACTATTTAAAAATCTTTAATACAAATGTAGAAAACACTACTGTAAAAAAAGCAAGGTAGTAGTAATAATGTTGAGGCTGATGACGGCAGCAGTTAATATTCTGGGTACTTACTATGTATCAGGTACTATGTTGAAGGCTTTACTTATCATGGTTAATCTTCAATAACCCTACAATTTAGATATTACCCTATTTACAGATGTAAAAATGGAGTTAGAGACATTAAGTAATTTGCCCAAGGCCATATAGCTGGAAGACCTGAGAACTGAACCTAGACAGCCCAATTTTTTTAAAGCTTACATACACACTCAACCATTCTTAAATTGCCTTTGGCTGGTCCTCAATGCCATTTCTATTTTCTAGTTAATTGTTATACAAGGCTAATATTCTGTTTTAACCCCTTACACCTCACATTCTTATCATTTCACTGACTTTTCAACTTCTACTTGTTTCCCTTACTTTTTTTTTAAAGGATATTACCTTAATCTTTATATTCCCTGTAGCAACCTCTTGCCCTCATTTTATTGCCGAACTGTTAAGTCTCTGTTCTTCCCACCTCATTTTCATTCTTCCATCCTATCTGACTTGGTACAAATGCCCTGAAGAGGTCTAGACTATTCAAACTCTGACCCCTGCCTACTTCTCTAAGCACTGACTTTTGCCAGGCCCAGACTCATACTCAGTGCTCCTACTAGTAAACTGCTTGCAGATCCTCAAATATGCCTATTTTATGCCCCCATACCAATGCTTGTTAGCCTTCCTTCCTGCCAGCCTGAGGAACACCTAAGTTTGTTTCAAGAACCAACACAAAGGTATCCTACTCTGAACAGATGATATAAGTACCCACTTAAGCCCTTTGTGCCTCATCAGACCTTGTACTCAAACATACTACCTGACAGATTTAACTCACGCTCTAAAATATTGTGTTTTGATCCCAAATGCCTGTTGAAATGCTGTGTATAACAGATACTTAAAAATGTTCACTGAATGCATGGCGGCCTCAGCAATGCCTTCAACAAACCACTTGGCACTTGCCCTATCCCCCCAAAATTTTAACCACCTTACTTATTTAAACTCTTGAGTTATATACCCTCCCAAAATGATGTATATAAGATTTTGCTTCTATAAGGTTCTGGTCTACATAATCACAACACTGCTCCTCACCTCAGGATTGCTTATATTTCCCAGAAAAGCTTCCTCTGAAGAAAAGGTTTTGGTTTAAATAAAATCAATAACTACTTCACTAATGGAGTCAGACATTTTTTTTTCCAATTGGTAATTCACTAGACTGCAGGTAGAACACTAATTCCTATATATGAGAAATAAGAATAATCTTAGATCACATTTTTTTGATAGCTCCTATAAAATTTTCTAAACTCAATTCGGATGATTTTTTTCCTTAAGAAAATTTTATTTTGCTACCTTTATACTCTACCCAATCTTTTATTATTTCATTCATCCCATTAGACTTTTAGAACCTCTGGAGTTGTCTTTTTATCTCTAAAAGACATTATATTAATAAGTATGGTATGTAACAGGTATTCCACAAATATTTGTAAATGGAATCATCCAGTGAAAACAGTAGAAGAACCCCATTATAGCATTCATTTAAGTTTGCCTCCTCTATTACTTTATTAATGACCCTTTCCATATAATTTCATATTTCCCATGTGAAATCCACAATTTCATGTAATGTTTAATCAGAGTCTAAACACTGTCCAATCTAAAAGCATAACTAACGTTTTCCTTAGAAAAAACATATCTGAAGATACATAAAAAAAGAATAAGTGGGAAGGAAACGTGGGGAATACTTTTCATATTTAGCCAAGGAATTTGTGAGCAGGAAATTTGAAAGTAAACAATAAAGCTTTTGAATCTCCTTCAATATCATAGGTTAGAATAGCTATTTTAGAAACACATTTTTATTAAAAACATCACAAAGTATTTCCCAATAGTTGACTTGAAGACAGATAAGCTGATACAAACTTCCAGTTATAAGTCCTGGAAATGTACTATATAGCACAGTGACTACAGGTAATAATAGTATACCATCTATCTGAAAGTTGTTAAGAGAGTAGATCTTGAAAGTCCTCATCATCAAGTTAAAAAAAACGTTTTTAACTATTTGTGATGATTCATGTTGACTAGACTTATAGTGGTGATGATTTTGCAATATGTAAAAATATTAAATCACTATACTGTATATCTGAAACAACTGTTATATCAATTATATTTGAACCTATCTATCTATATATATATATAAAGAGCCAGGGTCAGTAACATCCACAACGACCAAAGGCTTGACTGAACGCCCAGGCTGCGCGCTCAGCAGGCTCTGGTGGGTGGGGACTTGTTGCAGCAGGAATGGGGCTGGGGGAGGCGGGGCCGGCACTCACACACACTCATTCACAATCACAACCACGCAACCACACAGCACCCACCAGCTCAGTCTTTTCTCCCTTTCTTTCCCTCCCTCCCAGCTCGCTCTCAGAGCCTCTCTCAAAATGAGGACCCAGGGCAGATGAGGGTGGAGCTGCCCCCACTGGCCCCACCCCCTCCAACCAGGAAAGAGGAAGTAGGAGAGAGGGAGGCAGGGAGGCCTGGAGGACTGCTGAGAAAAACAAAGAGAGACAGAGACTGGGATGAAGAGATGGAAACAAAATAGCGATATTAAAATATTTACTCAATTAATAACCTTTTAATGTGCACAAATTTCGTGCACCGGGCCACTAGTGTGTGTGTGTGTGTGTGTGTGTGTGTGTGTGTGTGTGTATCCTATCTAATAAAAGAGAAAAATGGTAATTAGCCATACAGCCGCTACCCTTCCCATTGGCTAATCAGTGAGATATGCAAATTAACTGCCAACCAAGATGGCGGCCGGCAGCCAGGCAGCTGACGTGAACAGGGAGGCTTGCTTGCTTCAGTGATGGAGGAATCCAAGCTTCCCCGTCTGCCTTGCCGGCCTCTCATCTGCACTCTAAGCAACATAGTAACAAATATAGAAGCTAAACAAAACCCCGGGCTTCAGCCAGCAGGACCGCAACATTGTTTCAAATACAGAAGGTAAACAAAGGCCAGAAACCTGCTTTCAGCAGTGGAGGTCTCATAGCTGGAGCCGAGCCTCAGAGCTAAAGCTGGCCCAGAATAAAAAAAAAAGGAAAAAAGGACAGGTTGTAGCTTCAGTCACCTGCCAGCCTGAAAACGGCCCTCAGCCCCTCACCCAGGCTGGCCAGGCACCCCAGTGGGGACCCCCACCCTAAAGGGGGTGTGACCAGATGCAAACAGCCATCATCCCCTCACCCAGGCTGGCCAGGCACCCAAGCGGGACCCCCGCCCTGAAGGGGGTGTGACCAGATGCAAACAGCCATCATCCCCTCACCCAGGCTGGCCAGGTACCCGAGTGGGGACCCCCACCCTGATCCAGGACACCCTTCAGGGCAAACCAACCGGCCCCCACCCGTGCACCAGGCTTCTATCCTATATAGTAAAAGGGTAATATGCCTCCCAGCACCGGGATCAGCGGAGCAGGGAGGCCTCCCAGCACCGGGATCAGCGTGACAGGGGGCAGCGACCAAACCCCCTGATTGCCCTGTGGCTCTGTGTATGACAGGGGGCAGGGCCACAACCTCCCTATCAGCCCTGCTCTGTGAGTGACAGGGGGGAGCTCCTTAACCCCCTGATTGGCCCTGCTCTGTGCGTGACAGGGCGGAGCTACCCAACCCCCTGATAGGCCCTGCTCTGTGCGTGACAGGGGGGAGCTCCTCAACCCCCTGATCGGCCCTGCTCTGTGTGTGACAGGGTACGGAGCCCCAACCCCCCTGATGGGCCCTGCTCTGTGCGTGATAGGGGGCAGCGCCCCAACCCCGATTGGCCCTGCTCTGTGCGTGACAGGGGGTGGCGCCGCAACCTCCCTATCGACCCTGCCTTGAGTGTGACGGGGGCGGTGCCCAAACCCCCCAATCAGCCCTACCCTGAGCGTGACTAGGGGTGGCATCGCAACCTCCCGATCCGCCCTGCTCTGTGCATGACAGGGGGTGGCGCCCCAACTCCCCAATCGGCCCTGCTCTGAGCCCCACCAGGGGCTGCACCTAGGGACTGGGCCTGCCCTCTGCCACCCGGGAGCAGGCCTAAGCCAGCAGGTTATTATCTCCCGAGCGGTCCCAGACTGCGAGAGGGCACAGGCCGGGCTGGGGGACCCCCTCCCCTCCCGAGTGCACAAATTTTTGTGCACCGGGCCTCTAGTATATATATAAAACCCAAAGCAACTGGTCAACCATTTGACCAGTCACTATGACATGCACTGACCACCAGGGGGCAGATGCTCAATGCAGGAGCTGCCCCCTGGTGGTCAGTGTGCTCCTACAGTGGGAGCGCCGCTCAGCTGACCGATATGAGCCAGCTGCTGTGGCATGATCCTCTACCACCTCTGTGGCAGCACTACGGAGTGGCAGCAGGCACAGTAGGACCAGGATGAGCAGGAGTGGCACGGCACCCAGGCCAGGCTTGGGCTCCTCGCCAGCTGCCTGCTGCTTCACACACTACTACATCCTTTGGGAGATGTTAGACTCCCAGTTTTGGCCCAATCCCCGCGGATTGGGTGGGAAACGCAATCTGACATCCCCTGAGGGGTCCCGGATTGCAAGAGGGTACAGGCCAGGTTGAGAGACCCCACCGGTGCACAAACAGCTCTCTGATAAGCCCACATTAAAAAATAACTACACTGCCCAGCCTTAGTGGTTCGGTTGGTTGAGCATTGTCCTGTGCACCACAAGGTTGCCAATTTGATTCCCAGTTGGGGCACATATGGAAGATAATCAATCAATGTTTCTCACAATGATGCTTTTCTCTCTCTCTCCCTTCCTCTTTAAGCTTGTCCTCAGGTTAGGACTTAAAAAAAGGGACTACATTGTAATATCTTTTATATACAGTGGTGGGCAAAGATAGATTCACTTATAATACAAATAAATAATACAATCACTAATAAATAATAATACAAGAGTAAACTGCTGCACACACTCACAACTGTAAACCTCCTTTTACCCACCCTTGTATTCTGTGTATACTGTACCATAGGGACAAAAGACAAGTAGACACGACTGACAGAAGATATTATCCTCGGCCAGACCAGTGTGGCTGAGTGTCAACCTATGAAACAGGAGATCATGATTCAATTCCCAGTTGGGGTACATGCCCAGTTGCAGGCTCGGTTCGTACAGGAGGAGGCAGCCAACTAATGATTCTCTCTCATCATTGATGTTTCTCTCTCCCCCGCCCTTGCTCTCTGAAATCAATAAAATATATTTAAAAAAGAGGGACCAATATGCCTCTTCTATAGGGATTAAAAATCCCCACAGGGATCGGGCCTAAACCGGCAGTCAGACATCCCTCTCGCAATCTGGGACTGCTGGCTCCTAACCGCTCACCTGCCTGCCTGCCTGATCGCCCCTAACTGCCCTCCCCTGCTGGCCTGATCTCACCCCTAACTGTCTCCCTGCCGGCCTGATCACCCCTAACTGCCCTCTCCTGCCAGCCTGATTTCGCCCTCAACTGCCCTCCCAAGCCGGCCTGATCTCGCCCCCAACTGCCCTCCCTGCTGGCCTGAAATTGCCCCCAACTGCCCTCCCCTGCTGGCCTGATCTCGCCCCCAACTGCCATCCCCTGCCAGTCTGATCTTGCCCCCAACTGCCCTCCCCTGCTGGCCTGCTCGCCCCTAACTGCCTCTGCCTCGGCCACCACCACCATGGCTTTGTCCAGAAGGAAGTCAGATGTCCAGATGATGGCCGGTCGACCCAGTCTAATTAGCACATTGCCTTTTTATTAGTATAGATAGATTATATAGGATATGATTGCTTAAATAGGCGGGAGGTGGGGGGTGGAAAGCTTTTTTCAGCAGGAGGATATGCTCTTGGCAGACAAAAATACATAATCCCTATATCTGGACTGATAGCCAGCCATATGCACTTTACTGCCAAACCAGTCATTAAAAAATTGAATTGCTTTCTCACACCTTACACCAAACAGGTGCTACTCTTAAAACCCCTCCTCAACCCCCACCTTTGGTTCTGCCTTCGCAGTTCACCCAGATTAGGTTCTGATTGATCCATTTCTATGCCTGTCAGCATCAGAAGCTCCGCTTCCTAGGCAGCCATTGGCTCCTCGCAGTTCACCCAGATTTGGTTCTGATTGATCAGTTTCTATGCCAGTCAGCATCTCCGGGCCTATCTCTGAACCTGATCAGAGAGGCGGGACTGATCAGCGAGGCCCGGAGAGAAACAGAGGCAAGGGCTGATCAACAGCTGCGGATCAGACCTGCTTCTCTCTCTGGGCTTCTCTCCAGGCCTGGTCCACAGCCTGCTCAGCAGTCGGTGCTGGGTCACCGCAGCGCCCACAGTACTGACTGCAGGACTGACTTCTGGTGTTCGGTCATCCATTTGGTCGTTTTGGAAGTTACGTTTTGGAAGTTACGGACCCTGGCTCTTTATATATATATATATATATACTAGTAGCCCTGTGCACGAATCCGTGCACCAGTAGGTCGCTGCCGCCCTCCTGTAGCTCTTCGCCTGCTGCCCTGTCCTCCTGTAGCTCCCCCCGCCTCCCCACATAGCTTGTTGCCCTGCCCACTTCTGTAGCTCTCCACCTCCCACTTGCTTGCTGCCCTGCCCTGTCCTGTAGATCTCCGCAGCCTGCTTATATCTCGCTGGCCCACTCTCCTGCTGATCCGTGATCTGGTCGTGATGTGTTTGGTCGTTACACCGCAGGGCGTAATGGCTAATTAGCATATTCCTCTCTTATTATATATATATATTAACCTCAATACCACGTATTAACTAAGACCTAAGACTAGCAAGTCAACAGTAGAATTTAATACCTATAATACATACAATTTTATTTAATAACTGATAGATTAAAAAGACGTTTTTCTGTCAAGCTATTTTCCTCTTGTATAACAATTATGCCCACAGGCACTTCTATGAAATAAAATAGTTAGTAGAATAAGCTTTACAATTAGAGTATTAGACTCTGAATCCAAGCTCTCCCACTAATAACAAAGCTTTTTGCCCGTTTTCTTATTTATATAATGAAGTTAATAACCGCAGATATGACATAGGGTTGTAGCGAAGACCCCAGTTTAGGGTTAATATATAAAAATTGTTCAGAACACTGCCTCCTCCATAGTATGCACTAGATAAAAACTAGTAACTATTATTATAGCAATTTAAAAGTATACGAGCTATACCAGTGATGGCGAACCTTTTGAGCTTGGCGTGTCAGCATTTTGAAAAACCCTAACTTAACTCTGGTGCCGTGTCACATATAGAAATTTTTTGATATTTGCAACCATAGTAAAACAAAGACTTATATTTTTGATATTTATTTTATATATTTAAATGCCATTTAACAAAGAAAAATCAACCAAAAAAATGAGTTCGCGTGTCATCTCTGACACGTGTGTCATAGGTTCGCCATCACTGAGCTATACGGTTTTCATATAGCACTAGAGGCCCAATGCATAAAATTCATGCAAAAGTAGGCCTTCCTTCCCTGGGCTGCCGGCACCGGCTTCCCTCTGGCACCTGGGACCCGGGCTTCCCTTGCAGCCCTGGCTTCGTCCAGAAGGATGTCTGGTCTAATAAGCATATTATGCTTTTATTATTATAGATGTTTAATTAAACTTCATAATTTTAAAAAAAGAGACCTATTTCCATTAAAAAAAAAACAAACCCCAAATCAAAAAACCATTATGATAAAATAACTTTAAATTAGTTTACCTGAGCAGTTTCTATTTTCAATTTGTCAATATTGAGAGTGTTTCTCTGTAATCCACTGGCAGCCAATGACAGAAGCTGCTTTAGAGCTTTAATATCTTCTTGTACTTTAAGCATTGCTTTTGAAGACATTCTACTAATTTCTTCTTGGACCTGTTTTTGTTCCTTCACAAATTTCCTTAAAGAAACAGAACACTGAGTTTTTAAAAAACACACCTTTGGTTTCCCCCACAAGAAAATAAGTACATTTACAATAGGTTGGTCAGAGTCTAAGTGTCTTAAGAAGCAAAAACTAAAAATTCATCTACAGCTCTCATGCTTTTTTCATAAAATTACAGCTACACAATTTTAATACCTATTGTTCTGCTTTTACTCTAATTTCTAAACGCATTTAAAATTTAGTTACAATGTTTAGGAGGAAGAGATGTTCCCCATAAAATATATTCTCCCATTCAAAGATATTTTATGTAGTTACAACTCGACACACTTACTGGAGATTTTCAACATCCTGGCAGATGACAGGAGGTAGATTTTCATCCTTCAGGGCTTTACTGTCCCTAAGAAAAATGCCACAGATGTATTAAAATCATAAAAAGGTGGTAACTGAGCTTTACTAGAATGTGTTGATACAAGAAAATATAACAAATATTCCCCTTTTATAGCTTTCTTGGATGATTTCAAAGTTCTTTAGAAATAACAAATTTCCTGACTTATAAAATAACTAACAAATCATGTGGAGATTCCTTTACTAAAAAGACTGGCATCTACGTAAATGTTTAGTCAATGATTGACATTTGACTAAATATTTAGGGGAAAAAAGTGAGAAAACACTACAGACTAAGTTCCCCTGGCTCAAAAATTATATGATTGATATTTTATTCGGTTCAAAAATATGAGAGCATTCATTAAAAAAATTCGCAAAACTTTTCATAATGAGATGCTCACAATATTTTACTTTATTATTTTTAAACTTCAGTTTATTCTTCACAAAGTAGACCTAGGAATAGCTTAAGGGAATCATAAATATTTAATGAAGGCAAGAATAAGTGAATTTGGCAGGCTGTAATGGAATCATGAGTTAGACTTCAGTTGCAGCCCCATTACTACTTCCTGAATAAGCCTAAGCAAATCTCAGTCTCTCTCAGCTTCCTTGTTTATGTCACAGGACTAAAATATACAAAAGATAATTGTGAAGAATGAACTTGATCACCTATTTACAAATGCTTTCTTTAACATAATACAAATTAAGTGAGAAAATATCTCTAATAATAAAAGCGTAATATGCTAATTAGACTGGATAGCCAAACGACCTTCTGGACGAAGCCGAGGCTGCGAGGGAAGCCCGGGTCCCAGGTGCCAGAGGGAAGCAGGTGCTGGCAGCCTGGGGAAGGAAGGCCTACTCTTGCACAAATTTCGTGCATCGGGCCTCTAATAAAAATAATAATCTTCAAACATATATATGATGTATATGGAGGCTATTATTATTCCTCTTCAACCTCGGGAAATAAATGGTATTGGCATAGTAATCTTCTATAATAATAAAAGCATACTATGCTAATTAGATGGGACAGCCGAACGACCTTCTAGCAAGCTGCCAAGGGAGGGGCCTGCAAATGGCCCTCAGCTCCTTACCCAGGCTGGCCACGCCCCCATGGGGTGAGGGTCCCTGCTGGGAGGCGTGGCCAGCCTGAAAACAGCCCTCAGCCCCTTACCTAGGCTGGCCACGCTCCCCAGCAGGGACCCTCACCCCATGGGGCGTGGCTGGCCTGTAAACTGCCCCAGCTGCTTGCCCAGGCCTGCACCGTCCCCAGTGAGGACCCCCACTCCAGTGGGGGTGTGGCCAGCCTGCAAACCACCACAGGCCCCTTTCCCAGGCTGCCCTACCCCTCATGGGAACCCCCATCCTGATCCAAGACACCCTTCAGGGCAAACCAGCCAGCTCCCACCCGTGCACCAGGTCTCTATACTAATAAAAGGATAATATGCTCATTAGACTGGGAGACCTTCCGGACATTCTTCTGGACAAAGCCATGGTGGCGGGGCTGAGGTAGAGGTGGTTAGGGGCCAAGAGGGAAGGGCAGTTGTAGGTGATCAGGTCGGTGTATCTGTGTGGGGGGCCTGTTGGGGGTGAGCAGGCCATCAGTGGGGGGTCAGTTTGAGGCGATCAGGCTGGTGGGGGGGAGTGGGGTACAGTTGGGGGCGAGCAGACCGGCAGGCAGAGTGGTTAGGGGCAATCAGGCAGGTGAGCAGTTAGGACCCAGCAGTCCCGGATTGTGAGAGGGATGTCCGACTGCCGGTTTAAGCCCGGTAGTCGCACATCCCCCAAGGGGTCCCAGATTGGAGAGGGTGCAGGCTGGGCTGAGGGACAACCCCCGCTCTGTGCACAAATTTCATGCACCGGGCCACTAGTTTATATATAAAAAAGGTACACAGACACACACATATATTTTCATTTATATATATATAAAAAGTGTTCCAAAATAAAGTTCCATGAATTGCTCAAGATTTAATAAGTTAATATATATATATATACATATATATATATAATTTCCATTATTTGGGGGAAAGCCAACCACTCCCTAGAAAGAACTGGTTATAAGTTTTCTTAAAAATTAAAAATTTGACCTTTTGTAATCTTTTAGAGCATATGTGTATTTTATTTTTGACAAAGACTGGTTAAATAATTTCTCTTCTAAATGCCTACATGGTTCCATGTACTTTCAACCACACCATTTGCCTACAATTTAATAAATAAAACTTTTTAATTACAATATTTTAAAAGTTAAATTGTAAACTTACTCTGGTCTTGTTCCCGTTTTATCACCTAGAAAATTCAAGAAACTTTGTGTAAAAATAGGCAATTTAACAATATACTATGCATACAAGTTTTAAGTTAATGCAAACTAAGATATAAATAGAAACTGTTAAGCATTTCTTAGATTGCCCCTTAAATATCATGACTTGTCACAAACCCCAAATACAGCAAGTTATGGAGATATATTTACGTATATATAGAGTTCTGTATCTGATTTGCATCTATTTCTTTCAAAGATAAGAATCTTCTTTAATAAGACAGTAAGAGAAAGACAAATACCATTATGATCTCACATATATGTGGAATCTAAAGAATAAAATAATATAGAAACAGATTCATTCATAGAGAAAAGACTGACAGTTGTCAGAGGGAAGGGGGGTTGCAGGTCTAGTGAAAAAAGTGAAGAGATTAAGCAGTACAAATTGGTGGTTACAGAATAGTCACAGAGATGTAGATTACAGCATTGGAAATATAGTCAATAATATCATAACTACTGACAATACATATGGGGCCAAGTGGGGAGGACCTGAAGCAATGGGAGGACCACTCTACTCTAAAGTACATTATTTTCTAACCAGTTTGCAGCACATCCGAAACTAATACAGAATAATACTAAATGTAAGCTGTAATTGAAAAAAGAAAAAAAAAGATTTGTTTTTAAAACTACCTTCCATGAAAAATATCCCTGCCTGGCAGTTTAATTCCTAAGAGCTTTACTGGATACTTTTTAAGGCCCAATCAGTATGAAAATACTAAAATATGTCATATTACCTGAACTTCTCTAAATATTTTATAAATGCAGAAAATTTTAAAATAAGGTTTTTGTGTCTGCAAAGCAAACAAAAGCCCTCACAGTAATAACATCTAAAAATAGAAAAAAGTAAAAGTGCTCCTTAAGCAAATTAAGCAGTGACCTGCATGTTAAAGTACAGAAAATACAGGAACACACTAAAACTCAATGGTTCCTTCCAGCCTTTTCTGCACATGCACATACACTTTTTAAATCATGGTTTTTTTAAAAAAAAATTATATCTATCTATCTATATATATATATATATACACATATATATATATTTTAGAGAGAGAGGGAGAGGGAGGGAGGAAGGGAAAAAGGGAGAGAGGAGAGGGAGAGGGAGGGAGAGGGAGAGAAAGGGAGAGAGAGGGAGGGTGTGAGAGAGAGAGAAACATTGATCAGCTGCCTCCTGCATGCTCCCTACTGGAGATTGAGCCTGTAACCCAGGCAGGTGCTCTGACAGGGAATTGAACTGGTGACCTTTTGGTGCATGGAACTGCACCATACAACTGAGCACACTGGCCAGAACCTTACACATACATTTTTTAAAGCAATCAGGATTTTCTTAGCATGTTGTGAATATTTTCCATGTCAATTAAAATGACTTTAAAAGATAACCAAGTGCACAGATGATGTAGCTGTATCATAACCTTTATGCCCAACCCTTTCTTAGCAACAAATGTCTATATCTACTTGTGCACTACTTGATTTGCATTCCAAGAAGAGGAATTTATTGGTCAAAGAGTATGCCAGGGTAGGCCTTTGACATATTACCAAAATGATCCCTTACAACAACTAACCCAACTTACCTTCCCATGTACTAGGAGTAAGGGTATCTTTTCCATCACACTCTCAGCATCAATAAACACATTAAAAAAAATTATTGCTAGTATGTAGGCAAAAAATGCCACTTCATTATACTCTTAATTCATATTCCAATTAGAAAGTGCATTTTTCCTTTCGTGAACTACCTGTTTATGTTATGTAAATTTTTGAGGTTATTTCCCTTATTGGCTTCTAAGAGCTATTTCGACATTAAGCAAATTAATTCTTTCTCATATTTATCATATTTCTTGTCTTTTATTTTTCCTAAGCCTTGCCGAAACAAGGCCACCAAAAATGTGCTTGCCTCCCCCAAAAAAATTTGGGGGAGAGAAAGATTTTCATGTCTATTTTTAAAACTAAATCCTTATAATTGCAAGATACATCTTGATTTCAGAAATGTTAAAATGTGCAAAAAGCAGCATCTAAAAATCAAGTATTTTACCTTAAACTTGTCATTTACCTTTTATCTCTGAACATAGGGTTTCTTTTTGTTTAACTCTTTAATCCAACTAAGTTTTTCATATTTTGTATCTCATTAATCCTACAACATTTCTAAAATTGGCACCCTTGTTCTATAAACAGGGTCTTAGATTTGATGAGACAGTAATATAAGGTAGGGATTTCATTTGTTTTCAAATAGTTCAACTATTTTATTGACTAGTTATTACCTTGCTATTTCTTTCATATTCCATTATACTATCTTCTTTATATATAAAAGGCTAATATGCAGCCCTGGCCAGTCTGGCTCAGTGGATGGAGCGTCGGCCTGCGGACTGAAGGGTCCCAGGTTCAATTCTGGTCAAGGGCATGTACCTTGGTTGTGGGCACATCCCCAGTAGGGAGTGTGCAAGAGGCAGCTGATGGATGTTTCTCTCTCATCGATGTTTCTAGCTCTCTATCCCTCTCCCTTCCTCTCTGTAAGAAAATCAATAAAATATATTTTTTTAAAAAAGGCTAATATGCAAAGTGTCCCCTTCGAGTTCAACTGAGATTGGGAGTTTGATTGCTTGCTATGACGTGCACTGACCACCAGGGGGCAGTGCGGAAGAAGGCCCCACACAGCAGCTGGGGAAGGAAGGCCCTGGCTAGCAGCCAGAAGGCCCCGATCATCCCTGATCGCCAGCTAGGCCCAGGGACCCTACTCGTGCATTAATTTTGTGCACCGGGCCTCTAGTATTTTATAAAAAAATTAACACACACACACAAACGTGTATATAAAACTTGCAACTGTTTCGAGACTAGTGTGGACTCCTGAATAGTCTCCCTAGCTTGCACCTCAGTAATACTGTGGACTACTATAAAGGCTTCCTAACAGTTTTCCACATCTACTCTTGGCTTCCTGCACATTATTCTCCACATGGCTGTCAGATGCTTTCTTATAAGACAAATCTCATCATGTCACATTACCCAGATCAAAACCCTTTAGTTGATCAGTATAATTATGAAACTTTTTAAAAATATATTTTATTAATTTCAAAAAGAGAAAGGGAGAGGGTCACATTGATGTGAAAGAGAAACATCAATCAGCTGCCTCCCGTATGCCCCCTACTGGGGATCGAGCTCACAACCCGAGCATGTGCCCTGATCAGCAATCGAAATGGCAAACTCCTGGTGCATGGAATGATGCTCAAGCAAGTGAGCCACACTGGCCAGGGCTAATTACAAAACTATTATGACATACAAGGCCTTTCATGATCTCTGGGATCTAAATCTTTCTGTTCTGCAGGTATACTGGTCTTCCAGCATTCTCATCTCTAGGCCTCGCTCATGCTGCTCCCTCTTTTAAAAAAAAAAAAAATTTTTATTGATTTTTTTACAGAGAGGAAGGGAGAGGAACAGAGAGCTAGAAACATCGATGAGAGAGTAACATCGATCAGCTGCCTCCTGCACACCCCCCACTGGAGATGTGCCCACAACCAAGGAACATGCCCTTCACCGGAATTGAACCCAGGACCCTTCAGTCCACAGGCCGATGCTCTAACCATTGAGCCAAACTGGTCAGGGCCATGCTGCTCCCTCTTCATGGAATGCTGTTCCCTACCACTCTTCATCTGATTAAATTCCACTAATACTAAGGTCTACCTAATATCGCTACTAGAAAAAGAAATCTAAACTGCCTTGACACATATAACAGATGAGGGAAATGGGGATGTGATACATATAGTCATGTGCATTTATTATTCTACTAGAGGCCCGGTGCACAAAAATTTGTGCACTCAGGGGGGAGAGGGGGTCCCTCAGCCTGGCCTATGCCCTCTCGCAGTCTGGGACCCTTCGGGAAATAACAACCTGCTGGCTTAGGCCTGCTCCCGGGTGGCAGAGGGCAGGCCCAATCCCTAGGTGCAGCCCCTGGTCAGGCTCAGAGCAGGGCCGATTGGGGAGTTGGGGCGCCGCCCCCTGTCATGCACAGAGCAGGGCGGATCGGGAGGTTGCGATGCCACCCCTAGTCACGCTCAGGGTAGGGCCGATTGGGGGGTTGGGGCACCGCCCCTTGTCACATTCAAGGCAGGGTCGATGGGGAGGTTGCGGCGCCACCCCGTCACGCACAGAGCGGGGCCCATCAGGGGGTTGGGGCTCCGTACCCTGTCACGCACAGATCAGGGTCGATCAAGGGGTTGGGGAGCTCCCCCGTCACGCACAGAGCAGGGCCCATCAGGGGGGTTGGGGAGCTCCCCCCTGTCACACACAGAGCAGGGCCCATCAGGGGGTTGGGGAGCTCCCCCCTGTCACGCACAGAGCAGGGCCGATAGAGGAGTTGGGGCACCGCCCCCTGTCACGCACAGAGTAGGGCCGATAGGGGAGTTGGGGCACCGCCCCGTCACACACAGAGCAGGGTGGATCAGGTAGTTGGGGCACCACCCTCTATCACCCACAGAGCAGGGCCGATCAGGGGTGTTGGGGCGCCGCCACTCTCACACCCAGAGCAGGGCCGATGGGGAAGTTATGGCTCTACCCCGTCACACACAGAGCAGGGCCCGTGGGGGGCAGGGGGGTGTTGGGGCGCCGCACCCTGTCACACACAGAGCCCCGCAGGGCGATCAGGGGATTTGGGAGCTACCCCCTATCAGGCACAGAGCAGGGCTGATCAGGGGGTTGGGGCGCCTTCCCCTGTCACGAACAGAGCAGGGCGGATAGGGAGGTTGTGGCCCTGCCCCCTGTCATACACAGAGCCACAGGGCGATCAGGGGGTTTGGGCGCTGCCCCCTGTCACGCTGATCCCGGTGCCAGGAGGCCTCGAGGCTCCGCTGATCCCGGTGCTGGGAGGCATATTACCCTTTTACTATATAGGATAGAGGCCTGGTGCATGGGTAGGGGCTGGCTGGTTTGCCCTGAAGGGTGTCCTGGATCAGGGTGGGGGTCCCCACTGGGGTGCCTGGCCAGCCTGGATGAGGGGATGATGGCTGTTTGCAGCTGGTCACACACCCTTCAGGGTGGGGGTCCCCACAGGGGTGCCTGGCCAGTCTGGGTGAGGGGCTGAGGGCTGTTTTCAGGCTGGTGGGTGACTGAAGCTCCCAACCACTCCTTTTTTTCTTTTTTTTTTAATTCTGGGCCAAGGCCTCTGCTGCTGAAAGCAGGTATCTGGTTTGTTTGGGTTCTATAATCGAAACACTGTATCATCTCCAGCTCTGAGATCCCGGCCGGCTGAAAGCTGTTTCTGGGGTTTTGTTTAGCTTCTATATTTGTTACAATGTTTCAAACTGCCAGCTCAGAGGCTGGCAAGGCAGGCGGGGAACGTTGGAGTCTTCCATCACTGAAGCAAGCAAGCCTCATGTTTGCTTCCAGCTGCCTGGCTGCCGGCCGCCATCTTGGCTGGCAGTTAATTTGCATATCGCCCTGATTAGCCAATGGAAAGGGTAGCTAATTACCATGTTTCTCTTTTATTAGATAGGATGTGCTCCTTTTGCTCAATTCTAGCTAAAGTACAGTATGTATCAGAATAAGACCAAGGGAGAGGCGATTAACTCCTTTCATTTTTCACTCCTTTGCTTCAATCTGCTCTTTCATATGGAGCCTAAAAGTAATTATAAGAAAAGACAAGTAGTCTTAAAATAGAAGGGCACGAGGCTATTACAACTGAGTAAAAAAATAAGTTGCTAAAACACCTAAGGCTATTTTTCTAATGACAGAGTTTCTAGAAATACGACATAAAAATAAGAATAGGACCCTATGTTTAGAATTTAGTAAATTTTTATTCAAAGAAATAAACCCAAATTGTTTAAGTTTAAAAGGATTTTCCAACTTTTAGGATAGTAATTCACCTTAGAATAAACAGTATCTCTTTATAATAAAACCATGTCCAATTTTAAGAATTCTTATATAGATATATGGGCACTGACTACTATAAACCTTCAACCACTACCTCATTCTAGTTCTGAGAGGTTCAATGCAATATATATGTATATACTCTAGTAAGACATGCTTTCATCAGAAGCAGAAAAGATGTTGTAAAACAGAACAAAAAATCATACACAGGCCCTAGCTGGTTTGGCTTGGTGTATAGAGCGTCAGCCTTTGGACTGAAGGGTCCCAGGTTCAATTCCAGTCAAGGGCACATGCCCGGGTTTGTGGGCCCAATCCCCAACGTGGGCCTGATCCCCAATGGGGGGCATGCGGGAGGCAGCCAATCAATGATTCTCTCTCATCACTGATGTTTCTACCTCTCTCTCTCTCTCTCTCTCCCGCTCCTTCCTCTCTGAAATCAATAAAAATATACTTTTAAAAAATCATACACAGAACCAACAATAAAAAACTTTTCAAAATGAATTTGGCTAACTTTTAAAAAGAATATTCAGCATATCAAGAAGAGCATTTTACAACTCACTGGTGAGTCCATAAATTGGTAAAACCTTCCTGGAAAGCAATTTCACAACATATACCAAGAGTCTCCAAAATGTCCCTGTCTTTAAACCAGTGATTCAATTTCTAGGTATTTGCCCTAAAGAAATAACCAAAAATATGAACAAAATTTAAAATAAAAAGCAAATGCTTAGACAGTATTTACTATGTGCCTGGCTCTGCTAAGGTTTTACAAACAGTAATCCTCAAACTAAACCTATAAGTAGGTACTGTTAGTTTCTCCCACTTATAGATAAAAACAAACAAAAAAACTAAAGCACAGAGAGGATAAATAACTTGAATAAGGTCAACAAAGCTTGAAAATAGTTGAGCCATAATTTGAACCCAGGCAATTTAGCTCCAGAATTGACACTCTTTAAATTACAATACTACTCTGATTCTCTCTGTAAAGTTGCACAATGCAGTGATACTTTCCAGAGTAAAAGAACTGGAAATAAGCACTATCAATTAGATGATGGCTGACTAAATTGATATGTCCATTCATAAGATTAATATTAAACAGCATTAAAATATTTTAAAATTACTGACGTTGACAAATATTTGTGATATACTATTACATAAGAACAGGTTTCAAACAATATGTGTCATGCTCCCAAATAAAAAACATAAATCAATACATTAAGATAGCTAGATAAGACATAGGCACATACAAATCTCAATTTTCTAGAAAAATAAAACCTTAAATGCACAGCACACAAAACTGATAAAAATACAATGCAAACGAACTTAAAAGTAAAAACTTTACTACTGAATATATTACATATAACTAACAATCTTCCAGACATAGGAATTTAAGTTCCCTCACAGGACTGTTAGAACATAAAATTATAATAACATTACTTACTCTTTTTATCTGATGAACTACTAAAATCTATACCACCAAGGCCTTCATTGCCTGTAGTTGAAGTAGCTGCTGTGGTTCCCAAAGCCAAGCTTAAAGCATTCTGTCCAAGACCTACAAATAAGCTAAACATCATTTATAAAGTTCACTGGAAGTCTTTATAATGATTACATCTTCTGACCAAAGCACTCCAATGCTTTTAAGTTGGATTCCATATTCTCTTCATACTTGATTTAGGAAAAGAGCAAGAAACAAGTCTAGAGCAAGCTCTAAGTCTAAACAAAGACTGATAGTCTTGCTTGGATTCAACAGTATATGTAGTTTGAATGTGACTTTTTTTTATTAAAAAGGTCAGAATACATGTTAATTCAATGTATGTGGACACTCAATTTTATGTTTGTAAAACCGCTCTAAAAAAGCAATTTTAGTATGTTTCCAGGTGAATACATCTTGTCTTTACAATCATGATTTGGAATTATATACTTTTAAAATATTCTAATATTGAATGTATTAATTAACTTGATAGGTGGAGTTAATTAAGGAATAATTTTATAACGAACTACATCTATCAAATCATGTACATTTAAAAAATCTTACAATTTTATTTGTCAATACCTCAATAAACCTGGGGGTAAATAAGTAAATATCTAGTATGAATTTATAAGAGTTTAGTTTAATATAAAACAAACTGTTTTACTATCAATGAAACTTAAAGAACTAACACTTGGAAATCTTACAGTTCAAAATATCATACTCCCAGGTTCTTTGCATAAAACTTTTTTTTAAAGTAGACTTCATTTATTTAAATCCTACCTTACAAAAGAAATTAGAAGAGTTAGACCAGGGGTCCTCAAACTTTTTAAACAGGGGGCCAGTTCACTGTCCCTCAGGCTGTTGGAGGGCCGGACTATAGTTTAAAAAAAAAAACTATGAACAAATTCCTATGCACACTGCACATATCTTATTTTGAAGTAAAAAAACAAAACGGGAACAAATACAATATTTGTATTTGCATGTGGCCCGCGGGCCATAATTTGAGGACCCCTGAGTTAGACTATAGTCAATTTTAAGTCAATATATACTAGTGAATCCATACATTCCCAAGCTGATACAATTGTGGGTGGTTTTTTTTTAAGACAAGATGCTATTTACTTTAAAAACAGAGAAAACAGTGGAATGTATTGTTAAGAGCATGGGGTAACTGAAAACTGGATTTAAATCCTGGCAGTGTATGAAAAAACATAGCTAAATAAATAGCTTATTCAGTTTTTAAAAAACACCAATAGCACTTTTAGGTTAATATAATCATAAATTAAACATTGAATATTGTGTCAAGAGCCTAAGAAAAATCAGGACAGATCTAAAAACTCAATAACAAGACACAAAAACACCCCCCTACTTCCCCTCTCTATTATTTTTGTGTCTTACTCTGATAGGAATCTTTAGGAGAGGTATTTAAATATTTATCATGCAAAGAAATGTATGTTATAGTCATCTAGTGATTTGATTATTAGAAGACATTTTTAATACCTACAAAGTTAGACAATAATGACAAAGTATTTGAAAGATCAATGAAATTTGAACACTACAAATTTCTACAGCTTATCTTCACCAACTCCTTTTCCCCCATTCTACTGACTTGGAATTACTCCATTAGATTTAGTATTTGAATAGAAGACGCAAAAGAACTATAGCTTAAAAAAATAAAAGAACTATAGCTTTAACAGAAATCAAGTCACATTCCTTCATCTCTCCCACACAACCAGGTAAAGTAAGACACATATTAGTGAAACTACTGAACTAGCCATTATAAATAAATCTAAGTATTTTCAGAAATTCTGTGATTTCAACATGTAGCAACTATTCCTAATATGTAAATTGTTAAACAGAAATTCTTGATGTTACATTGTTAAGTAATTATACAACCTCTCCAAATAAAAGGGAAGCGTTTCTCACTCCCACAAAACCCCACTGGCTTTCCTATATTGACATTAGCTATCGCCAAAATTCAAAACATCTGTAGAAACCTTGACATAAGGCTAATTTCAAAATAAGCATGAAATGAGAAATCAACTTGAGATATAAATATTCAATAGTCTCTTGGGAGGTAAACTGATACTTAAGTATTGCCTGACTATAATAAAATTACTTAATATTGTATTTTACACTCTTGCCTTCAAAGAATGCGAATATCCTTCCTGACATCTATAATAGAAAGCCACTCCTAGAACCAGGGCTTAAAAAGTCAAGATATCTTACAATGACTGTAGATACTAAATGATGCTAGACTATTCAACTACTATTTATTAAAAAGATAAGTTTCTCTAGAAACTTTATTGACTCCTCAAACAGCACGGTGCCTCTTCATTTCTTTATCTAGTCAGTCAATATTGAGAAACGGGAAAAAGTATTTCTAAAATACTGCTAAGAGGTCCAATTATGCATTGAAAAACATTACAATTGTTTTCATACTATAAAACATAAATTTAGTAAGACAAAGCAATCTGCTCAAAATGCCAAAACAAAGTAAATTTTAAAACAAATATTTACTACTTCTAGAGAGTAAGTACCATCAATTACCTGATGTTGCTGTGTTTGTACTCTGGAAAAGCGAACCTCCCAAACCAGCTAAGGCTCCCCCTAAAGAAAGGCCTGTTGATGCAGTCGTAGTTGTGGCTGTCGTTCCACCCAAATTATTAAGAGTAAATCCTGTGGATGCTATAAAAAGTAAGACTGTAAACCTTCAAGAGGAAACACTGTTTCTAGAACATAACAAATATAAAACACTTTCTTTAAAAAACTGATGTCCACGATAAAATTGGCTCTTGGAAAAACTACTCAATAAAGATAAAATTATATACTAGTATACTTATGAATAAAGAAAAAATGAGTGACAGAAAAAAAAGACTTTGGGTAATAAAAAAATGGTATCAGGTAACTGATTTCACATAGTAATAAAGAGTTTTCAGCCAGGCCATCAACTCCATCTTCAAATTTGAATGAATTTAAGCCAGGCAAGTTTATGCAAACTCTTTTTTCTTCCCTGTCACCAAAATACTCTCTGAGAACAAATTATATATTAATGGTTTTACATTTTATTTTCTCATCCTCTTCCCTGCTCTGCTCTCTGTAAATAGAGACCAACTTCCAAGATAGTATCTGCTGCTTTAGCGCCCAATGTTGATCTTTTACACAAATCAGTAATTTAATAGGTCAAAGTTGCTGAATGATTTAAGTAAAAAATTCCCCAATCTGAAGTTATATTTAATAAAGGTGGCTACCTATGTACACTCACCAAATAAAGTTAAAATTTAAACATAAAATGTGACTTTCCATTCTGCCTCACCTGCTGGAGTTGATGTCAGAGCAGATGAAAGGGTAAGACCACTAGCTGAGGTAGAAGTAATAGGCAAAGCAAATGGTGTGGCAGATGCTGCAGGTTTACTGAATCCTAAACTGAAACCTGTTGTAGATGCAGATGTAGTGGCTGGAGTTCCTGTTAAAAAAAAAAATCCTTATTTTACTATAATTGTATATATATATATTATACCATACACAGTCAATCAGGATCCCTACAAGTTAGTGATCCTATTTTTTATAGATAGAACAAGAATGTACTTCTGTATGTATAAGAGAAAAATATAAAATTTGACACCAAATCATGGTGAATAGTGAGTGAAAAGATGGTCCTGTGAGTTAAGAAAAGCAAAAGAAAATTGAATCAATGTGATAATACTGAAATTCAATTTAGTTGTACCCCTAGATTGACCTAAAACAGCATTTAACCTTTCTTTCCTTAATAACTAGCAGAAAAATGGCCCATCCTCTCCAAAACTATATACATGACAATTCTCTACTGCTTAAGATCCTCTTTCTTCTGGTTCCTGTGTTTGAAAGCACCCAGAATTCTTCCTACCCCCCTTTTGTAGATCTCCTTTTCACCTGTTCACTTCTTAACTGATACTCCCTATGGCAGTGATGGTGAACCTTTTGAGCTCGGCGTGTCAGCATTTTGAAAAACCCTAACTTTACTCTGGTGCCGTGTCACATATAGAAATTTTTTGATATCTGCAACCATAGTAAAACAAAGACTTATATTTTTGATATTTGTTTTATATATTTAAATGCCATTTAACAAAGAAAAATCAACCAAAAAAATGAGTTCGCGTGTCACCTCTGACACACGTGTCATAGGTTCGCCATCACTGCCCTATGGTTTACTTTCTGCTCCCTTACTTCCTAAAAGATCTCACCCACTTTCAGAATTTCAACTATAGGTACATGATCTAAATCTACACTTATCTGAGCGTGCATTGGTTAGCTCTACCCTGATGTCCTTTGGACCCCTATATTTCTCCCTATTAAAAAAAACTTTCCTAAACCCTCTATGGTTAATTCAGTTACTCAAGGCAGAAATCAATCACTTCTGACATCCCTTCGCTCCCTGCATTCTATTAGCCACAAATCCTGTCAATTCTACTTCAGAGATATCCCAGCAATACAAGCATACTCTAAAACTTTAATTCAAGCCACCTCTCTCTCAATAAGTAGTACAATAACCTCTTAATTTATCTGTTATCAGCCTCCTCTAGCCTATAACCTATTCTTGGAATTACCTGTTATTCTTTTTTTTTTTTTTTAAAGAGGGATGGAGGGAGTGAGGAGAGAATAACAAAATACCCTCGTCATTCCCCCTGACATAAGGTTCCTATTAGCTTTCCATTGTCTCTAAAATAGAGTCCTAAGTGTGGCAAATAATCAATCACCTTTCCTAACTGGTCCTCTTGCTCCTCAAATCTCTCCTTACCATTTCTACCGCTGAAACCTAAACCCCCGAGAACAAAGTATTTTTCCTATTTCCCTGGATCTTTATATAAGGCCTTTGCACTTTTCACTCCTCCATCTAGAATGTTTCCTGTCCCTAAAACAGAGGTCCTCAAACTATGGCCTGCGGGCCACATGCAAATACAAATATTGTATTTGTTCCCGTTTTGTTTTTTTACTTCAAAATAAGGTATGTGCAGTGTGCATAGGAATTTGTTCATAGTTTTTTTTAAAACTATAGGCCGGCCCTCCAACAGTCTGAGGGACAGTGAACTGGCCCCCTGTTTAAAAAGTTTGAGGACCCCTGCCCTAAAATGAACTCCTACTCCCTCCTTCCTCTGCTTTCCTTAATGCCTTTCATACATCTGCTGGAGCATTTATCAGAATACCTAAGAACATAGTTTTATACTTGCCTATTCCCTTCACCTCACAACAGACCGAGTGTCTTGCTCACGCACTCAGCAGTTCCTGACATCCACAGCTAATGCTAAATGTTCAAGGCATTATGCATAATGCCAGAGTTAGGAAGTAGTAGCTGCTCAAAAATTTAAATGAAAAAAAGTATAAATGGCCTACATTTTGGCTTTTCCTAAAAGCACTAAGAGGAAAAAAAGCCAAAAATTATCCTTCTGGATTGACTTTACCACAACTGGAAGTTCCTGCCAGAGTACAGTGCTTTGAAATCATGTATGAGTTCCACAATCTCAGAAAATAAGAGGACCCTATTGCTTGCCCTTGTAGCCAATTCTCCAAAATTTTTATGGTAAACATGTAGTTCTGTTGACAATAGGTAAGTAGCAGCCAAGTGAAGAAAGTACATTAATCTTGAATTTATTTCAATTTTTAATTGAGGTTCCTCGATATCCTTTCACTTTTCCATTGCCTTTCACACATTATTTATTGCCATCCAAATTCAAGGCAGGATATAATCCTAGTTATTCACATTTCCTTCAGCAGATCACTATAGAAAACTACGATTTTTTTTTTCAGCTGGAAGGGAATCCAAAAACTTGTTATAGTCCAATGCCCTAATTTTATAAATAACTAAAAGCTGCCAGATATTTCAGTGACCAAAAATGTCCTCACAACTAATGAGAGGCACAACCAGGGCTTAATTCCAAGACTCTGGCCTTATACTTTGTTTTTTCCACTAAAAGGACTCAAAAGACTGAAAAATGTATTGTGAAATAAATTTTAAAGAAAAACCAAATCTGAATTAAAAATATTTTAATTAAAAAAGGATTTTTAAAATACTCAAATACTGATGCTATTTCTGGAGACAAAAAGAGAACTACAAAAGTAATCATCAGTGGAAGATGGCATTCTTTTGGTTTTTCACAAGGGCAAAGACTTGGAATTGCCTTCAGGGGGGGGGGGGCACCGACTCAAAGACCCAAACATATCACAAATTTCTTCTTTCCCCCCATAACCATTAACTAATATAAACACTCTTCCTATAGCACTGATTTTCATGTTACAAGCTGTAAATAATTTGATTAATTAGCAAATAAGATTTTTAAAATGAAAAAAATATTGCTTATAACAAAATTAAGCAAGGAATAAAAAAAAGCTACTAAGAAACAAAAACAAAAACACCTTGGCAAACAGAGCTAAAGCGCAATGGCTGGTCTCATATTTACTCCTGCAGTTATTTCAATTTTTATGTCTGGCTGTGAAAGTGTTGCAATTAATGCTGGAAGGCCTATGCAAAAGGTGGTAACAGAGACCAAGAGGCTCTGAGGATAGAGAATAAAGGATAAATAAGGAAGCAACTTCAGTGAAACATATTTTTAGCTTTTAATAACAAAACAACTGTAGTACTGAACACACTTATTATTGTAATGTCCACCAGAAATCTTACCCTCTTGCCCTTTTACCACTTAAACTATTAAATTATTTAATACAACAATTTAAAATATTTCTTAAAAATGTAAATTATAGCCCTGGCTGGTATCACTCGGTTGGAGGGTCCTCCCGTATACCTAAAGGTTACAGGTCCAATTCTTGGTCAGGGCACATACCTGGGTTACAGGTTCAATCCCAGTTTGGAGAGGTATGGAAGGCAGCCAATCTATGCTCTCTCTCACATCAATGGTTCTCTCTCCCTCTCGCTCTCTAAAAAAAGATCAGTAAGTATAACCTCAGGTGAGGATTTAAAAAAATTTTTTTTAAAGAATGTAAACTATAATGTTATAGCAAAATAGGATGCTAACTGCCCTATATATGGTAATTAATTAATGGCCAAATTGGTAAACTTGTCTTAATTTTCATTAAGGTAAAACATTGCATTATATCAGTGGTTCTCAACCTTCTGGCCCTTTAAATACAGTTCCTCATGTTGTAACCCAACCATAAAATTATTTTCGTTGCTACTTCATAACTGTAATGTTGCTACTGTTATGAATCGTAATGTAAATATCTGATATGCAGGATGGTCTTAGGTGACCCCTATGAAAGGGTCATTCGACCGCCAAAGGGGTCGCAACCCACAGGTTGAGAACTGCTGCATTATATAATCTAATATAAAAATTTAAATTACTTTTATTTGCCATATTTAAAGAGATATAACTTCTTTAATTCTTTAAATGTATGTGTGTTTTTCTCCCTTATGCAAAAGTAGATCATAGCTAATGACTGGGCCTGTCATTGGCCCTTAATTCCACATCCCTATATTTTCTTTCATCTTAGTATTTACCATTTTTTAAGTCTACCATCAATAGTAATACTTATAAAGGAAGGAGATTCAGTACAGACTTGAAAAAGGATAAAATCCCAAATCTACTCTCTGAAAATGTGACAATCCTTACCTGTATTTGTTCCTCCTAGAGTGAATCCAGTGGCAGGCTTAGATCCAAAGAGCCCAGTTCCAAAACCACCTGAAGGAGCAGAGGTAGTTGCTGGAGTCGAGGTGCTTCCAAGAGTTCCAAAATTGAGGCCCACAGAAGGGTTACTTGTTTATTAAAAAAAAAGCAAAACACAAAATAAGGTCCAGTAGAGCCGATATTGACTTAAGAGAAATGAAATTAACTCTTTAAGGTTAATTTCTTTCATTTAACACTAGAGGTCTGGTGCACAAATTCGTGCAACAGTGGGGTCCCTCGGCCTGGCCTGCAGGATCGGGCCAAAACTGGCTCTCCGACATCCCCCGAGGGGTCCCAGATTGCAAGAGGGCACAGGCCAGGCCAAGGAACCCCACTGGTGCCCAATCAGGGCCGGGGAGGGACATGGAAGGTTGGCCAGCTGGGGAGGAACCACAGGAGGGCTCCAGGGCACGTCTGGCCCATCTCACTCAGTCCCGATTGGCCAGACCCCAGCAGCAAGCTAATCTACCAGTCGGAACGTCTGCCCCCTGGTGGTCAGTGCACATCATAGCGAGCAGTTGAGCAGCCTTAGCATATCATTAGCATATTACGGTTTGATTGGTTGAACAGATGACCAGATATTTAGCGTATTAGGCTTTTAATATATAGGCCCAATGCACAAAATTAGTGCACAGGGGGTGGGGGGGGGGGGGTCCCTCAGCCCGGCCTGTGCCTCTTGCAATCAGGGACCCCTCAGGTAGAGTCCCTAGGCCTGACCAGCAATCAGGGCCTATCGGGGCTTTCCTTCCCCCGGCTGCCAGCAGCTGGCCCCGCCCCGCAGCTGCCACTGCTGGCCTGGGCCTCGCTCTGTGGGGCCATCGCTGGCCAGCCCCGCATACCTGCCACAGCATCACTGGCCGGTGGCCTGGGCCTCCCTCTGCAGGATGATCATGGGGCAATGGTGGGGCCCCCCAACCAATCACATCACACCCTAATTGGCGGGCCCGGCGCCAGTGCATGTCATAGCGTGGTCGTTCGGAAGGTCGCCTGGACAGTCGCTCTGCTCTTCAGTTGATTTGCATATTATGCTTTTATTATTATAGATATCTAACGCATCTCCATAGGATACAAAAGGAACTAATAAGTTTAACCAAATTTAAATATTTTTCAGTTATCTTTAAAAATAAATCCACACATAAAATTAATCTTTAAAAAAATACAGTACCAATCTTCAAGAAAAGCATAACCTAGAGCAGTGATGGTGAACCTTTTGAGCTCGGCATATCAGCATTTTGAAAAACCCTAACTTAACTCTGGTGCCGTGTCACATATAGAAATTTTTTGATATTTGCAACCATAATAAAACAAAGATTTATATTTTTGATATTTATTTTATATATTTAAATGCCATTTAACAAAGAAAAATCAACCAAAAAAATGAGTTTGCGTGTCACCTCTGACATGCATGTCATAGGTTCGCCATCACTGATCTAGAGCAATTAAGATTCCAAGTAATCGCAAACAGAACCACACATTCTTATTCTGCTTTCACCAGTTTTTGTTTGAAAGTAAGCTATTTAAAAATGGCCACAATGCCCTAGCCCAGTGGTCAGCAAACTGCAGCTCGCCAGCCACATGCAGCTCTTTGGCCCCTTGAGTGTGGCTCTTCCACAAAATACCACGTGTGGGCGCACACGTACAGTGCGATTGAAACTTCATGGCCCATGCGCAGAAATCGGTATTTTGTGGAAGAGCCACACTCAAGGGGTCAAAGAGCCACATGTGGTGTGCAAGCCACAGTTTGCCGACCACTGCCCTAGCCGGTTTGGCTCAGTGGATAGAGCTTCAGCCTGCCGACTTAAGAGTCCCAGGTTCGATTCTGGTCAAGGACACATACCTGGGTTGCAGGCTGGATCCCCAGTGTGAGGCATGCAGGAGACAGCTGATCAATGATTCTCTCTCATCATTGATGTTTCCATCTCTCTCTCCCTCTCCCTTCCTCTCTGAATCAATAAAAATATATTTTTTAAAAAAAGAGCAAAATGCAAAGCAAAATTACCCCAATCAAGATTGTGGCCCTAGCTGGTTTGGCTCAGTGGATAGTGTCAGCCTGCGGACTGAATGGTCCCAGTTTCAATTTCAGTCAAGGGCACATGCCCAGGTTGCTAGATCCTCAGCACCAGGCATGAAGGAGGCAGCCTATCAATGATTCTCTCATTATTGATGTTTCTCCCTCTCCCTCTCTCCCTTCCTGTCTGAAATCAATGAAATATATATATATTTTCAATTATGTTCATCAGCAGAAATTCTCTTCAGAAAGAGCAGCCAATAACAAGTGATGTGAACAAAGTTCACAGCTTTTCAACTGTTCTCATCAAGCCTCAGAGGCTCCAATTTGCTATTTATAGGTAGGAGAACAAATTATGAAAGTAGGCGAAAAAAAAGAAAGAAAACCCAAAAACTTGATCACTCAATAGTATTTCAAAAATTATGCAGGAGAGTTAACAGAGATTGTAACAATTATGAAATCCCACTCATCCTACATATGGAATCTTTATTACTTCTCTCCAGGCCCTTCCAGACAGACATTAATTATCATGAGGACTCAATGTCAGTTTTAAAAAGCTTGTAAGCCTGGGAAGTTTCAATTTAAGGGGAAGGCAGTAGTGTTATGGCTGGGATCCAGTACCAGTTCCCCATTGCGCTGATATGTAGGTGATACTACTTAATCTTTTTGAGCCTCTATTTTATCTGCAAAGTGGGAATAACAGTACCCTTAGGATTTTTTGTAAAATTAAGAGAACAAGCAGGACGAATTAACTTCACTCAATGCACGTTGTTGCTATTGCTATCATTAGGAACAAGTATAAATTCTACTAAACACATTATATAATGCCAGCAAAGCACTGTGAGGGCTATAGAGAGGGAGGAGCTTAACCAAAGAGGTAGAACCTGAAATGAGTCCTCAACTCTGAATAGGAAAAACAAGAGGACATACACTAATTGTGTCTTAGTTTACCACTGATCTTAAAAATGATAGCAGGCTGGGGTGGGGGTGAGGGGTGGGTTGTCAGGGCAGGGCTGCAAGGCCTCACTAACAAAGCACAGATCTTTAAACACTTAAACTGAGTTTAAAAGAAACATTATTGGCATATTCTAATGATATCAAATTTAAAAAATTATTATGCTCCCCTTCCTCACAAATCAGTGATATTTTTTAAAATATATTTTTATTGATTTCAGAGAGAGAGAGAGAGAGAAAAGGAGAGATGGAAACATCAATAATGACAGAACCACCGATCAGCTGCCTCATGCCCCCCACTGGGGCTTGAGCTCACTACCCAGCACGTACCCTTGACTGGAATTGAACCTGGGACCCTTCAGTCCCCAGGTCAACACTCTCTCCACTGAGCCAAAACACCTAGGGCCATTGATCCTTTTTTTTCACTGTTATCTCATAAATATGCAAAAGATGTACAGTGAAAATATGTATTGTAGATAATTAAAATATTCAAAATTTCTTGATTGAAGACACAATGAAGTGCTTCATAATTAAAGCTGAAAACATTACCAAAGAACTACATCAAAGTGAAATGGTATTACTTTATCAGAGAAGCAAAACAGAAATGTCTCTGTGGCAGAGAAATTTACTTGAAGAAAAACAAAAAGCTACCCCAGACCTGACCCCCACCCAGTATTATCAGCCACTGACTCAACAGGATGTGAGCCAAGTTGACTCCAGCAGATCAGTAATGTGATTTTAACTTCCCCAGCTTGCCTTAATGTGCACTTAATAACATAATAGCTAACATTTACTGAGCACTTAGCAAATGCAATATGCTACATTTTCTACATGCTTTATCTCATTCAACAACTCTCTGAGGTAATTATTATATTCCTTTTCCAAATGTGGGAACTGAGGCTTGGAGAGGAACTTTCCCAGAGTGATACCAAATCACCAAATGGCAGCAGGAGCAGTCAGGCCTCCAAATTAGAATTCCAATGGAGAGATGTTAGTCAGTCTCTCCATTTGTTAATTTATCCAAGCCTTTCTAAAACCTGTGTAAATGTAATTTATTGCCAACAGATAATTCACTTACTTGATCATTCAACAGTATTTATTAAAGTCCTTATTATATCCCAGGCACTGTTATAGGGACTGAGGACTAAGGATGAAATGGTAAATAAGGCCCTGCGCTCTAGAAATTTCCAGTAAGAGAAAGAGTAGTCAATCAATCATTCCTTCAACAAATATATATTGAGCTTCACTGTGTCTACTGGAAAAACAGTATGAAAAGGTCTCCACCCTCATGGAGCATCCATTCTGTTGCTTGGATCAGACAATAAATAAGTCAACAAAAATACATAATGAACTGTTACAACTGTGGTAAGTGCTATGGTACAGGGTACTATGAGGATATACACTTCCTATAGGTCAGAAAAAGCCTCGGGGGAAGCAACCTTTTTAATCCCAAAAGTAGGCATTAGCTTGGCACATGGGGTATGAGGTAGTAAGGGAATTCAAAACAGATGAACTACCCTAAAGCGGGAAGGGGTTTGGCCAAGAAACTGAGAAAAGGCCCAAGTTGCTAGAGCAGGGTTTTTGGAACTAAGATCAGGACCCATTAGATAGAGGGTATGAAATCAATTTAGTAGATAATAAGCATTTTTTTAATGAAATGCAACAGAATAGAAAATACCAGTGCATCATATGAAGTAAGGGTATCTTTCTTGAAACTTTCAGTTACTTGTGTTCCTGAACTGGGTGATAATATAAATGCAATTTAATGGGTCTGGACCACTGAATTGGAGCAAACTAAAATGAGGAAAAGATGGGCCCAGGATAAGCCTGTTGAAGAAGTTCCAGATTATTTGAGGACCATAGCAAGGTTTATTTTTACTTCATTCCAATGATAGTGAAAAATCATTGAAGGGAGGCAATGTGAATTTTTAAAAAATATCAACCTGGCTACAATGTAGTAAAAAGATTGACATAAAAGTAGATTTTTGAGATTTAATTGAACTACTAAGTAGGAAATGATGGGTGCAGTTCTCATTTAACAAGGGAAAGGTGACTGGTTGAAAACCAGGTGGGAATCTTAAGTATTTTCATAAGAATGTAAGCTTCAGGAGAGCAGGACTCTTATTTGCCACCTAAAACAGAGCCTACTACACAGGAGTGTGTCCAATAAATATTTGTTCAAGGAATGACAACAGCTTGCAGCACTGAAAATGAAGCGAATATTAGATAATTAAAATTACCAAGTCTTGCTGATAAAGTGTATAGAGTGAGAGAAAAGGAGGCATTAAGGAAAACTCCCAGATTTCTGACTTGATGTGTAGCCTGTGGTCCTCCTCCCTTTTTGACTACAATGCTGAAGGTATTTTTGCCTTTTTAATCTACAACAATATTCTTTAAGCTTCTATGCACACGTCTTGATTTAATAAACTCCATCTTTATCTTCAAAAGATTGAGTTCTAAAGATTAAACCTGTCATTAATAAAATGATTTTTAACTATTTTAATTGCCTCTTTGGGGGTTTCTGCTAGTAAAATTTTTGTCACCGGTGCAGCAGGTTGCACAGAAATGGATCAATATATTACCTACATTTTGCAATTTAATTAAGACAATGTGAGTCATTAAAACACAACATTCTCACTTTTGCATCCTGTTCAAAGTTATGCTATAAGTAACACAAAAACAACAGGACAGCTAGGGTCCCAAGAGGCACAAAGACTTGAAAACTCGTTAACCACGAACTCATCAAAGCTCTGTAATATCCTGAACTAAATTCATTATCAGGGAGAAACTTTGGTCCTTAAATTTTTCTTTTTCTAAAGCCCCACAATAAGCTGTATTTCATTCATTCGTACCACATTCATCCTGTGCCGAAGACGGACAAACTGCTAGGGCCTTGCATCCAGCCAGACCTCGCCAGTAGGAACAATGTCCGAACCATCGTAGATTCTGGGGCCTCACGACACAGAAACCATCCCCCCTCCATCCCCCTCCTCTCCGCCAGGCCGCACGCAGTGCCCGGGCGCGGCGGCGAGTGGGAAGCCCACGAAGCTGGCGCGGGGCAATGGTTTTTCTCCAGGCCGAGCGAGAGAGAAGCCGGCGGGAATACAGATGGGCGGGATTACCCTACGGGAGCCTCGCTGGGAGGACCTGGCCGGGAAGGCGAGGAAATGCGGTTACCTAGACGCCCCGGTTCCGAAGGAGAAACCGCCGCCTGTGCCAGTCCCGCCGGCGGCTACGGTGGTGGAACCTAGCGTGCCGGTCCCGAAGGAGAACCCCGTGGACATGGCTGCCCCGGCTCAGCGCCTTCAGAACGCGGAAAGGAGTCTAGGATGCTCCTCTCGCATCAAAGCCGAAGCGGGCCGGGAAGCATTGCTTCCCGCCGCAGCCAGGACCTGGCAGGAACCTCAAACTCCGGCGGCGGCGAAAACCAGGCCGAGGCGGGCGGCACAACCACGCAGAACGCTCCAGCGCCCGCGGCGCGCACACAGCCCGCCGGAAGCGAGCCCGCCGCGCAGGGAACTCTGGGATGGAGTGGGGCCGGCGTGCCGCGCAAAGCACCCTGGGACTGGAGTTGGGGCCCCGCCTACTCTCTGGAGGTAGACTCCCCGAGTTCAAACAAAACCACACTATTTCTCTTTTAGTTCTATTTCGGCAACCGCGCTGACGTTATCTGTATTCCAGCGCTGTTGTGTCTCCATTAATGCTTATGTCCTTGCCTACTTCCTAAAAGGATGCGCAGAATCCCAGAGTTGGGAGGGCCCTGTTGGTCATTTCTATCCTCGCCCCGCCCCCCCCTTTACAGGAAAGGTGATTTTAATCTTCCGTGGCCTGCCACCCTTTGAAAAACGAGGAGGTGGGTGCTTCCTAACAGTTTGGCAATCAATCAATAACAATTCACTCATCGGTTCAAGGACGTGAGCACCACCTTTGGGCTCCAAGGCATGCGGGGCCACCAAGAAAATCCAGGAGAGCGTCCTTTCGCAGGTGTGGTGGCTGGCCCTGTTCGTGGTGCTGAGCAAACAGAACTGGACAGGCCCTCCGAATGGCAGAGGATGTAAAGTCTGTAAATAGTGTCAGCGTTTCCTGCCCGCTGACAGTGCGGGACCTGGGGGCGGAGCGCGGGTTCCCTCCCGGACCGCTGCCTCCCTCCCGGCTTTGCGGCGCTCCGCTCCGATGCCACTGCTATCACTAGAGGAACTGCAAAAGAAAGGCATTTTAAAAACTACAGAAACAAGTATATAATATAAGGTGAAATTTAGGTGTTCTATGAGCAGCCCTTAAACATAAGAGAAAAAGGGGGTTTAAGGAAGAGATCCCTCTAGAGAAAGGATCAAGAAAAGCTTCCTGGCGGCGGTGCCTTTTAGGTGCTGCCATCAACACGTGGGTCTTTATTTTTCTGTTGGGAATTGTCGCAGTACTCCTGTAAATGCGATTTTTTTCTTGCAATAAAAATTTATCCATAAGCAACCACCAGATTTGCTCTCCTAAAACAGACATTGCCTTAATAAAAAAAACTCAGTGGTTCTAGTCTGGCTCTTACTAACCTCACATCTCACAACTGTCCTTAATGCAGCACTTTCTCCTGCGCTGAGCTAGGGCATTGCCACCTGCTATGGACTGAATTGCGTCCCTCCAAAAATTCATTCATTTCAGAGTTTAAATTATGCTGCAGTACCTCCAAAAATTCCACAGAGGGGAGCACTGCAGAGATGGCAACTGGAATATTTGATGAACGGTATTACAATCTGCCACATGCCTCTAAATGCCCCAAGTTTAAAACTGGACCTCACAGAACCTTTCTCAGATAACTTCTGTTTGAATTATTAGCAAAAAAGAAAAGAAAACACTTTACATCTTATGTTCTACAGAAACAAAACTCCAATGAAAGCTGTTTCTATGAAAGCCCAATTTGGTTATTAAATTTTAAAACTTAACAGTAAAATGATAATCATTAAATTTTAAAACTTGACAGTAAAATGATAATCACACAATCTTTATGCCTATTTATGTCTAAAACCTATCCAGCCAGGGAGAGTAACACATCCTATTCCAAATGATGCTCCAAATATTCTTCTTGAACATTATGGGGCCTGAACCCTATGGGACCTGAACCCATGTATCAGTTCTGCATGAAACACTTCTTTCCATGATGAAGCAAGTGATTCAGATTCTAAATTCTATGGCAAGCCCCTTTGCTTCCCCCCTTTTATATTGTGAGAATTCTATTAAGAACCCCCATATTTTGCTGATTTGCTGGTTGTATGATGACATTGTTAATGTCATAATCAAACCGAATGATCTGAAAAGCAATAGCACTGTGAAAAATTTCTAATTTTGATTTTCATTAAAATATCTAACTAAGCTTTCTTCAATGGTATGTCCAGATCAGGATAACCCTTGGAGAAATATCAATCAAAAGGCTGTAACACATAAAGGAAGTAGGAATCTCACATCTATTTAAAGAGATCTGTAATATGTATGGTCTGATCCTATAAAATAGACAAGAGAGGAGTTACCTTTAGATACTGTATATAACCAGTTGCCTTCTATCTTGAATTTATTCTTGGAAGGAGTCTGTTAACTTTGAAGATTTAGATAGTGTCCTTCCTTATTAAAAATACTATTACATTTTTAAAAGATCCAATGACAAAATTTATAGAGTTAGATCAACAATGAAACTGTGACAAAATGTTAACAATTGGTGACTCTACAAGCAAAGTATATGGATGTTCATTGTTGTACTCTTTCAATTTTTTTGTTGGTTTGAAATATTTCAATAAAACAAGGTTGGGAGAAAAGCCAAAAGCCAAAACAAGTTTCCAACAGATCAGAACAGGAATGATTTGTTTCCTGACAAAGTTTTCACATATAACCCAAGAAATGAGAAAAATGAAAGCAATTTAGGGAGTTTTTCATAAAGGTGAACATATTTAATTTAACATGTGGTCATTTTTTTAAAAAAAAAATTATGTCCTTCCTTTTGGTGAGTGTGGGGGATGGGATGTGAAAAAGTTTTCATGACCTGGTAATGATAGTGAATGAGCCTAATAGGAAAAGAAGCTTGTCAATGTCAAAATAAAATTAAAAAGGGAAGCTATCTTGTTGCCACTAATTTTCATTCTTCCCTTTTTCCTTAAAAAAAATAATCTCTATTCTGTTCAAAGTGGCACACTAACTAGATAAATGACTACATATCCAAGCTTCCTTTACAGGTAAATGTGGCTAATTAGATGTAAGTGAGAGACATAAGATGAGGTTTTTTTTTAAATATATATTTTTATTGACTTCAGAGAGGAAAGGAAAGGGAGAGAGAAACATCAATGTTGAGAGAGAATCATCAATTGGCTGCCTCCTGAGGCCCTCTACTGGGGATCAAGCCTGCAACCAGGCATATGCCCTAGCCAGGAATTGAACCTGTGACTTCGTTGTTCCTGGGTTGATACTCAACCACTGAGCCACACCCAGCTGGGCATATAAGATGAGTCTTTCAATACCTGTCTTTGAGACTAGAACTTGACCATTGTCCTTCTGATGGCATGTTTCAAGACAATTAGATAACAGGTTGTTGTTGCTTGTCTTATTGTTATAGTCCAGTTATATTCCATTTAAAGGAGGAGATAGCTGGTGTACATCCCTTTTGCCTTTCTCCTCCTTCTTCCTTCTACTGCCTGGAACTTAGACAATGCTGGGTCTCCAACAACTGTCTTGGACTATGAGGAACTTAAGAATAAAGTCATGTGCTAAGGAAGGTGTAGCAGAAAAAATATTATGAACATAGATCTTTGATGATACCATAAAGCCAGAATACCAATCCTGGTCTGCCTACCTTCAGATTTCTTTCAAATGAGAGAAAAATCAACTTCTGTGTTGTTTAGGTCATTGCAGTTGGGTCTCGATAGCTAAATTTAGTATACTATTTTTAATAGGAATTCACACTAAATGGTGCATTTTACATGTGTTACTGAAGAAACATAGGAAATATCACAAGATGAACCAAGGTCCAAAATATCTACAGGACTGGACTATAACAATAAAATAAGCAACAACAACCTGTTATCTAATTGTCTTGAAACATGCTAACAGAAGGGCAATGGTCAAGTTCTAGTCAAAAAAAAAAAAAAAGGAGGAGCCAAAGAGGAAGAATTGATCTACATTTATTCTTTTAGTCTTTCAAGGAAGGAAGTCACTATACTTGATGAAGGCACATATTCTGACCAGTGGACCAATGTCAACTGCTGTGAAGCAGGAATACAGTCATAAGACTTTTCCATGGCATGAATGATATCTTTCTCAAGCCTGTCTAATTCCCTTTGCCCTGATCAGTTTTCCCATAACTTAATTAGGCCTCTTTTGGTACGAGGAATAGAAATTATTTCAAAGTAGTTCAAGTGTGAGTGTGGGTGTATATATATATGTGTGTGTGTGGGGAGAGATGGGAAGACAGAGTTATTGTACAGATACAAAGAAGTTTCAATAAAATCTAGAAAAAGAGGTATAGCTAGGCCTCAAGTATATCAGAAACCAAGATCTAGCTGGTAAGAAATTGACTGAAGAGGATTGCACCTCCTTCAGGGAATTGAGACTTATAGATCCCAGAGGATGGGGGGAGAGATAACCAACTGACTCAGTGCCCAAGGGAGAAAGACAGGACCATTCAGGCATCTGCCACACAAAAACCAGTGATGCCAGATTATAATAGGACTAGTCAAGTAAGACCTGATTTTCAGGGAGCAAAAGCAGGAGTTAGCGGCTAGGGTGGGGAGAAGGTGGAACAAGCTTGTCAAAACAGATTCCCCCCACCTCTGTCCCCACCTCTTTCCCCCCTGTTAGCAAACCTGGGGGTATATTGGGAGAGAGAAGATTTGAATTGTATACAAGAACACATTTTTAATTATATTAGACTGAACTAAGTGACTTCTAAAAACTAGATTGTTCTAAAACTTACAAGTGACTAGTACTTTTCTAGGAGCTCAAGCTCCTAATGAGGAGAGGTGAAAGGAGAGGTAACAAAGCAGGCTTGAAGGGTAGCTGTGGAGAAAAAGAAAACTGCTGCCTGTGTCACCTCTTAAGAACCCAGGATTCAAGAAAATGGTTGTTCAATATAGAGCATGACCGACCACTCTATCAACTAATAGAATTATGTTTACTGTTCAATAGCAGGTACAAATGGACAGAAAGACCAGACATAGATACCATTTGGATAAATCAAGGTTTACTTATCTAAAGGATTCAGAGAGATGATCACACAGTTAGGATACACAGAAAAATGATTAATAATCTTCTTTAAGACAATGTGGAGCAAGCTTCTAAACTCACAAATCCTGAGAGAGCAAGAGTACATTGACCTTCTGGAAGCATAATAATATGTCTCCCTCCAACCCAGCATGGGGCTAAAACAGTCCTATGTTGCCTAACCTGGATATGTGCACTTTTCTGGGGCAGGGGTACCTCCTCAATTGCAGGGTTACAGAATACATAATATGATCACTTGAGTACATTATACAGTGCACTCAATTAAGAACAAATATTTTGTCCTTCACTCAGCCTCCCCAAATGAACACAGACTGATTCAGATAAACTTATGATCGGTACTGAAGAGTTAGAATGAGTATCAGCAGGTATTCAGACATCTCTGGGGATACTAGGATGTATTCTGCTTAACACACACATATACACAACTATTATTTATTGAGAATTTATTGAGGCCAGCCACTATGCCTAAGTATTTCTCCTGCTTTTGCTCCCTGAAAATCAGGTCTTACTTGACTAGTCCTATTATAATCTGGCATCACTGTTCAATTATTTCATTTCACCAACACAAATAACTCAAAGGAGGAGATGATAAGTACTACTATTTACAGATAAGAAAACCAACAATTAGAGAAATTGAGTACTAGTAACTTTACTAAACTCATACAGCTAGTAAGTGGCAGAAATAAGATTTAATTTCAGATAGTTTTAATTCCAAAAATAATTCTGATCATAGCCTTCATCTTCTGCAATAATATACCTAAAAATAAAAGTTGAGAAATATAATCAAGTGAAATGTTCTTGCTCTTTTAATGATTTATGTATTTGAGAAGCACCCAGATTAGGAAATGTGATTGCTTACCATTAGCTGGTAAACAGTAAACATAATTCTAAAAGCATCAACATTTAAAGTATAAAATGTTTTCTCACGTGACAATCATGGCATTAGACATCTCTTGTGCATTTTATAGGGAAGCTAAGTGGATTTTAAAAAAATTTATTGATTGAGAGAGAGAAGCATCGATTTGTTGTTTCATTTATTTATGCATTCATTGGTTGCTTCTTTTACGTGCCCTGACTGGAGATAGAACCCACAACCATGGCGTATGGGGACAATGCTCTAACCAACTGAGTTACAGGGCCAGGGCCTAAGTGTTTTTTTGTTTTTTTAAGAGAAAAAAGTATTTATTTCCCAATACCCCTAATAGCTTTTTTTTTCTTTATTAAGATATTACATATGTGTCCTTATCCCCCCATTGTCCCCACCCCACCCCTCCCTGGTTTTTTAAACAGTGTAAAAATAAATATTAAATATTAGGAAGAAATGAATGCAGATCTTATGCCTCAAAGCTTTGGTATGTTAAAAGAGGGCAAACTAACTTTTTGACTGGGCATAAAACAACGTTGCATCTCAAACAAAAAAGCAGATATTATTACTACTTGACTGATGGCTACCAGACTGAAAATTGAAAACATAGTTTAGAATTAGTGTCACTATATTAGCTTATGTGCACCAATAGAAATGTCTTCCTTCCATTCATATAATTGTTTCCTTTTTCTTTCTCATAAATATCCCTTGCCTTTGTCTGCTAATTGTTACACTATTCGGGTTTCTCCCTCAATCAGTGCTTCCTGGATAGCTATTCCTTTTCTGACCTCAAGTAAATATTTGTCGCCTCTCACTTTGGCTTTTTATATTTATGTTATTTCATAGTATGGGGGATTTTGATTGTTTCAAATAAGGCTAAACTAAATATATCTGATTATTTCCTTAGACTAGATTCTTATGAGTAGAATTGCAGCTCCAAGTAAAGAGAAAGCATTGACATTTGGTGCTGTCCACTGGTAGGGCGATGGACTTCAGGGACACCTTGCCCTCACCCACCAAATTCTCTTTTCGCACCACAGGATTCATTCCTAGGAGACGAGTCCTCAGGGGCCCCCTCCACAGCCTGCCCTCCTGGTCCTCTGCCAGCTTCCGTCAGGCTGGCGAGCCCTCCACTGGCAGGGGGCACTGTAGCATCTGCCGCGGCCCCAGACGGAGCAGGCGCCGCCCTCCTTCCCGACGCTCCGTTACACCCGCCCACGCCCCTCGGCCGCGGGTTTGGGGAAGTGTTTCTAGGAGACGGCGCTGGCCGACTGCCTGCGCGGCGGGCTCGGCGGGGGCGGGCTGCGGGCCTCGGCGCTCCCCAGCGGAACTGGTTCCTGCTGGGTCTGGGTCGCCGCCGCCCAGGTTCTCTCGCTCATGGTGCGCCTGTGAGGCGGTCCGCAGGCCGACGTGTCCTCGGCATGGAGCACATCCGTACGACCAAGGTAGTGGGGCGCGGAGATCCGTTTGCCACCGCCGGGTCTGACAGGGCGGAGGCGGGGACGGGAGAGCTCGGTTGGCTGCCGAGGCTGCGGACCGCTCGGCGGGCCTGGCCCCGGCCCGGAGGGTCCCGGCCGGCCTGCCTGGAGGGCAGGGGGAGTTTGGCCGGGGGCTGGGCGAAAGAATTATGCAACCCACGGGCGTACGGTCTCTCTGTCAGTCCGGTTGAGGGGCGATGATTTGGGTTGCTTGGGGTTCAGTTCCCTGAAATGTGTCGCCGCCCGCTCAGCACTTTCTTGGGCAAAAAAGGGGCTGTTTGAGCTGCGAGGCCTTTGCCGCAGAGTCCCGAAAGCCGGTGGGACTACAGATGAGCATTTCGATGTTGTGTGAGCTTTTCCTTATTCACGGCTAATTGTCTCGTGTCTCACCGGTTCTGGATGCAAGTTTTGGGGAAGCTGAGATCAGCGCTCGGCCCCGCCTCACTTTCTGGTCTCGGTGTACAGTCATTGAAATTCGGTGTTTCCGTCTCTGTGTTCAAACTTTAATGTCTTTAGAGTCAGTAACCCAACGAAGGAGTTACAGGGAAGGGAAAAATATGACTCCATATTTTAAAGCGTCTGATGGAATTGTTATGCAACTGAGCTTATTAAACCCCATGCTCAATTTTTGTGTGTAAATGGCATTTTTTTTGGCCTTTCACAAACACGTATTCCTCTGATTCCGTTACAAATGGTAAAACCAAAGGAAATGACATAATAACATTACCAAATTATTTTACCAACAATATTTAAGTTAGACTTCAACTTTGGGAGGGAGAAAATACAGAGACCAGAAGAATTGAACAACATGATCTTAAGATCTCTGGGAAGAGGACGACTCACTGTGAATCTTAACTGCCCCCATTTTGCTGAAACCAGTTAATTGCTGCTCATCCTTTTAGCATCTTCATTGGTTCAATGGAGAATTTGAGATGTCATTAAAATGTTTCACAGACCTTTTAAAGGTGTACATGGATTTTTATTAGAGCTTGTTTTTAACATTGAATGTACTATTCTCCTATACAATAAAAGGCTAATATGCAAATTGTTCCCTCCACCGGGAGTTCACCAGGGGGCAGGCAGCAGGACCTCCTCCCCAACCCCTCCACACTCCATCAGGGGCGGGTGGCCCCTCCCCCCTGGCAGTCCTACCCTCACCAGCTCCCCTCACCCTGATGGGGGGGTGGGGCTGGCCAGCCAACCTCCTGCTTCTGTGCTGCCCCCCCCAAGCCCAATTGGCCTGATCAGAGTGGGCTGGCGGACCCCACCTGTGCATGAATTCGTGCAGTGGGCCTCTAATCTAGTGTAATAAAAGACAAACATGCAAATTGACCGTACCTTCGCTACACCTTAAGCCACGCCCACAAGCCAATCAGAACGACTATATGCAAATTAACCCAACCAAGATGGCGGCCGGCAGCCACAGAGCTAGAGCGAGCAGGAGGCTTGGTTGCTCCAGTGATGGAGGAAGCCAAGCTTCCCGCCTGCCACGGCCGGCTCTGAGGCAACAAAGTTCCAATTATAGAAGATAAATAAACCCCAGAATAAAAAGAAAAAAGAAAAAAAGGAGAGGCTGGGAGCTTCTGTCGCCAGGGGGGCTTGGTCAGCCTGAAAATAGCCCTCAGCCCCTCACCCAGACTGGCCAGGCACCCCAGTGGGGACCCCCTACCCTAAAGGGGGTGTGGCCAGCCTGAAAACAGCCATCGGCCCCTCACCCAGGCTGGCCAAACCTCCATGGGGTGAGGGTCCCCACTGGGAGGGGCTTGACCAGCCTGCAAATGGCCCTCAGCCCCTCACCCAGGCTGGCCAGGCACCCCAGTGGGGACCCCCACCCTGAAGAGGGTGTGACCAGCCTGCAAATAGCCATCAGCACCTCACCCAGGCTGGCCAGGCACCCCAGCGGGACCCCCACCCTGATCCGGGACACCCTTCAGGGCAAACCAGCCGGCCCCCACCCATGCACCAGGCCTCTGTCCTATATAGTAAAAGGGTAATATGCAAACTGACCCTAACAGCAGAAGGACTGGGAATGACTGGTCACTATGACACACACTGACCACCAGGGGGCAGACGCTCAATGCAGGAGCTGCCCCCTGGTGGTCAGTGTGCTCCCACAGGGGGAGCTCTGCTCAGCCACAAGCCAGGCTGACGGCTGCCAGTACAGCGGTGGTGGTGGGAGCCTCTCCCGCCTCCTCAGCAGCACTAAGGATGTCCGACTGCAGCTCAGATCTGCTCCCCGCTGGCAAGTGGACATCCCCCTAGGGCTCCCAGGCTGCCAGAGGGATGTCTGATTGCCAGCTTAGGCCCAATCCCCCGGGGAGCGGGCCTAAGCCAGCAGGTGATCATCCCCTGACTGGTCCCAGTCTGCGAGAGGGCACAGGCCGGGCTGAAGGACCCCCCCTGCCCGAGTGCACAAATTTTGTGCACCGGGCCTCTAGTATCTAATAAAATTGAAAATCTAAAAACTAACTCCCTTTAAATATTTTGTTGTTTTTTTAAGAGAAGAAAGATAAAGGAACTAAATGAACTAAACAAACTCTAGAATTCAAGTGGCTGGCACTTAAAATTTGAAAACAGCCCTAACTGGTTTGGCTCAGTGGATAGAGCGTCAGCCTGCGGACTGAAGGGTCCCAGGTTCGATTCTGGTTAAGGGCATGTACCTGGGTTGCGGGCACATCCCCAGTAGGGAGTGTGCAGGAGGCAGCTGAATCGATGTTACTCTCTCATCGATGTTTCTAACTCTCTATACCTCTCCCTTCCTCTCTGTAAAAAAAATCAATAAAATATATTTAAAAACAAATAAAATTTGAAAACAGAAGAGTAAGTAAATAACCAAACTAGTAGATGATGTAGAGATGGAAAGGACTAGAGTAGGCATCAGGTTAGGTTCTTGTCCTGGTTTCAGGGTTCCAGACATACATTAGATAGTATCTGTGTGTGCACATGACTTCCTTCTATACCAGGTTGAACCTCATCTTTGCATCTCACACAAGGCTTGCTACAGCATACAATAACAAAAAATAGGTAATTGGTAAGAGTGAACAGGAAGTTGGAAAATCTAGGACCCCTTGGCTTATTTTAAGACCTTCTGGCCCTAGCCGGTTTGGCTCAGTGGATAGAGTGTCGGCCTGCGGACTGAAGGGTCCCAGGTTCGATTCCGGTCAAGGGCATGTACCTCGGTTGCAGGCACATCCCCAGTGGGGGATGTGCAGGAGTCAGCTGATCAATGTTTCTCTCTCATCGATGTTTCTAGCTCTCTATCCCTCTCCCTTCCTCTCTGTAAAAAAATCAATAAAATATATTTTTTAAAAAAGACCTTCTGCTTTAAATTAATGTTGTATATTTTTGTTTTTATTTGTATAGTTGTAACTCTTCTTATTTTGTTGTTTATTGCTGGTGACTTTCACTTGGTCTACTGTTCCACTTTAACTACCAGTTGATGGTCTTTAATTTTCTGATTTAGTCTTTTTTTTAAATTTCTTTATTGGTTAAGGTATTACAAATGTGTCCTCATTTTCCCATTAACCCCCAAACCTCCCTGCCCCCCCCCCCCCCCGCCACACACACACACTCATGCTCTCATCCTCCTGTTGTCCGTGTCCATTGGTTTGGCTTATATGCATGCATACAAGTCCTTTGGTTGATCTCTCCCTCTTACCCCCTCCCTCCCCTAGTTTCCTTCTGGGGATTGATAGTCTGATCGCTGTTTCTCTGTCTTTGGATCTGTCCCTGTTCATCAGTCTATGTTGTTCTCTATATTCCACAAATGAGTGAGATCATGTGGTATTTATGTTTCTCTGACTGGCTTATTTCACTTAGCACAATGTCTCCAGTTCCATCCATGCTGTTGCAAATGGCAATAATTCTTTCTTTTTTACTGCAGCATAGTATTCCATTGTGTAGATGTACCAGTTTTTTAATCCACTCATCTGCTGATGGACACTTAGGCTGTTTCCAAATCTTAGCTATGGTGAATTGTGCTGCTATGAACATAGGTGTGCATATATCCTTTCTGATTGGTGTTTCTGGCTTCTTGGAATATATTCCTAGAAGTGGAATCACTGGGTCAAATGGGAGTTCCATTTTTAGTTTTTTGAGGAAACTCCATACTGTTCTTCACTGTGGCTGCACCAGTCTGCATTCCCACCAGCAGTGCAGAAGGGTTCCTTTTTCTCCACATCCTCTCCAACACTTGTTGTTTGTTGATTTGTTGATGATAGCCATTCTGACAGGTGTGAGATGATACCGCATTGTCGTTTTAATTTGCATCTCTCGTATAATTTGTGACTTTGAGCATGTTTTCATATGTCTTTCGGCCTTCTGTATGTCCTCTTTTGAAAAGTGTCTATTTAGGTCCATTGCCCATTTTTTGATTGGATTGTTTATCTTCCTTTTGTTAAGTTGTATGAGTTCCCTGTAAACGTTGGAGATTAAACCCTTATGGGTGATATCATTGGCAAATATGTTCTCCCATGCAGTGGGCTTTCTTGTTTTGTTGATGGTTTCCTTTGCTGTGCAAAAGCTTTTTATTTTGATGTAGTTCCATTTGTTTATTTTCTCTTTAGTTTCCATTGCCCTAGGCCTAGGAGCAGTATCAGAGAAGAAATTCCTTCGGCATATGTTTGCGATTTCATTGCCTGTGGATTCCTCTAGTATTTTTATGGTTTCCCATCTTACATTTAAGTCCTTTATCCATTTTGAGTTTATTTTTGTGTATGGTGTGAGTTGGTGGTCTAGGAATATATTCCAAGAAGCCAGTTTCATCTTTTTGCATGTATCTGTCCAATTTTCCCAACACCATTTATTGAAGAGACTGTCTTGACTCCATTGTATGCTCTTGCCTCCTTTGTTGAATATTAATTTGGCATAGTGGTTTGGGTCGATTTCTGGGGTCTCTAGTCTATTCCATTGATCTATATGTCTGTTCTTGTGCCAGTACCAAGCTGTTTTAAGAACAGTGGCTTTGT